TGAGCGTGGTGAGCCGATCCAAGAACTCCTCCATGAAGGGGGTAGCGTGCTCGATGAACACGGCAATGTAGACCAGCGTATCTCCTCATCCTGCACACACACACACACACACACACTCTTTATCCAAGGCTGCAGGGGGCGGGGCTTGGCTTTAGTCTGAGGAGGGAACCCACAGGAGCCTCGTTGAAGAACAGCAGGTCCTCGTCACAGATCCCACAGCCGGTCTCGAAGGTCCAGGCCGAGGGGACGTAGTTACCCAGGTAGTTCAGTTGCAGCTGGGGGGAGACAGGTCACGTGACCTCAATATGCTATTCTCTTGTCATATAAACACAGACACAGAGGGCTGTGATTGGTCGGTACCTTGGTGGGGCCGTTGCCATGGACGATGACGGGGAGCGTGTCGAAGGCCACGTTCCTGGCTCTGACCTTTGACCTCTCAAACTTCAGGACGACTTCCTCTGACGGACGTAGACGATACATTTCACACTGACACTTCACACTACAGCGTGTGTTACAGTGTGTGTCTGTGTGTTACTGAGTGTGTGTGTGCGTGTGTGTACTGAGTGTGTCTGTGTCTCACCAACGGCTCCGTTCAGATTTTGGAAGATTCTGGAGCGATGGTCTAGAGTCATATTGAATTTGGCCTGGAAAGACAACATCATCATCATCATCCTCCTCCTCCTCCTCCTCCTCTAAACCCTCCTCCTCCTCCTCCTCTAAACCCTCCTCTAAACCCTCCTCCTCCTCTTCTAAACCCTCCTCCTCCTCCTCTTCTCACCCTCTGCTTCTTGTCCAGGTAGATTTTGGTGTAGAACAGCTGGTCGTCGTCGTTGTCTTTGTACTTCCACTGTTGAACCATTGAACTGAGATCTGTGGAGAAGCCGATGAACCCTGAACACACACACACACACACACACACACACACACACACACACACACACACACACACACACACACACACACACACACACACACACACACACACACACACACTCTCATTTGAACTTCTTCAAGGTTCTTTCTTCATCAACATTCTCCCTCCCAGATGATGAGGGTTTGGATTCACACGAGTCGGAGACGTCCCAGCGTCCTTGACCCCACGTGGAGTGTCATCATCTGAGGAGCATAAAGAGGACTCGTCTTACCTCCGGAGTTGAGGAAGCGTTTCCCAGAATGCACCTCCGGGTACTTGGAGGCCAGTCTCTGGTCGGGCCAGCAGAAGCCCTCGGCTGAGAAGACCACCCGGTGAGCCAGACGAGAGAACTTGGAGAGCAGCTCCTCAGGACCCGACGCAAAGATCACGTCGTAGCTAAAGAGGGAGTTTCAAAATAAAAGACTTTACACATGATGAAAACTGGTGAGGGACAATGAATCCCTAATCAAATGAAAGCAGAGGACCACAATGATGTATGACGCGCACACACACACACACACACACACACCTGTCCACGAACAAGACAACCAAGTCCTTGTTGTCAGAGTGTTTGAGTAGCTCCGCCTTTAACCATCTGACCTTCTGACCGCCGCCCACCGTCCGAGCCACATCGCCCCCCTTCCACTGCTCCCCCAGACCCAGGACCTGAACACATCATCATGGTCACCATCATCACCACCATGGTCACCATCATCATCATCATCCCCACTGGTTGCATCATGCGTGCAGGTGTGTTACCTTCACGGTGTAGTTGAACTCTCTGGCCGTCCTCATGAAGCGGTTGAAGCCGTCAGTCTCTTCTGTTGCCGCAGTGATCACCAGCAGATTTTCTACACACACACACACACACACACACAAAACCTTTATGATCTGGTTGAACAACACCGTAGTTTTGAGGAAAGAATATGTGTGACATCACACCGAGGGGCCGCTCTGATTGGCTGTCCAAGATCAGAAAGGATGAAACTCATCAGGTCCACTTATACTACAGTGAAAATATACTTACACTGCTAAGTATTATAGCATTGATCAATAAAGGCGATTGTCTTATAGAGAGAGGGTTATATCATCTGTAAAAAAGCATAATTAAAACCCTTGGAAACGGAAATACTCAACTAAGGTCCTTAAGGAAAGATTCAGGTTCTTCTCCAAACTGGACAAAGAGCTGAAGAAATGCCATCAAGACCAACCAGTTGTTGTTGTGACTTTAACTTTAACAGTATCATGAGGCCTGGACCTGGTGGACACATGGAGAACCAAACATCTGCATCCAGTCAGCACTGATGCTCAGTGCCATCGGTCGTGTCGGCTTCAGGGACCACACCACAGAGGTCAAAGGGTCAGGTCAAACTGGCTCAATAAGGCTTTAATAAGGCTCCTGTAAGACGAGGACCAGGCCGCTGTACGCGCTACGCCTTTAAGAGACTGATCTCCCTGCCATCCAATCGGCTTACACCGATGGTTGGTGTTGGTTTCCACTGAGGAGGAGCTTTGTTAGACTACGCAAAGGCCTGAGAGGGGGCCGTGCTGGGGGGCCGTGCTGGGGGGCCGTGCTGGGGGGCCGGAGAGCCGGCCGGTGGGAAGGGGGCGGAAAGTCCTGTAGGGTTTGTACTGCAGAGTATTTTGGAAATTTCTTATACGTCTTGCATATGAATAATAGGATTTGACATTGTTTTATGAAAATGTATAAAATGTACAGAACTGTAAAAAATGTAGTACAGTATGAAGTACTAAAGGTACCTCTGAGATGTAGTACAGTATGAAGTACTAAAGGTAACTGAGATGTAGTACAGTATGAAGTACTAAAGGTAACTGAGATGTAGTACAGTATGAAGTACTAAAGGTAACTGAGATGTAGTACAGTTTGAAGTACTAAAGGTACCTCTCAGATGTAGTACAGTATGAAGTACTAAAGGTAACTGAGATGTAGTACAGTATGAAGTACTAAAGGTACCTCTGAGATGTAGTACAGTATGAAGTACTAAAGGTACCTCTCAGATGTAGTACAGTATGAAGTACTAAAGGTAACTGAGATGTCGTACAGTATGAAGTACTAAAGGTAACTGAGATGTAGTACAGTTTGAAGTACTAAAGGTACCTCTCAGATGTAGTACAGTATGAAGTACTAAAGGTACCTCTGAGATGTAGTACAGTATGAAGTACTAAAGGTAACTGAGATGTCGTACAGTATGAAGTACTAAAGGTAACTGAGATGTAGTACAGTTTGAAGTACTAAAGGTACCTCTCAGATGTAGTACAGTATGAAGTACTAAAGGTACCTCTGAGATGTAGTACAGTATGAAGTACTAAAGGTAACTGAGATGTAGTACAGTTTGAAGTACTAAAGGTACCTCTCAGATGTAGTACAGTATGAAGTACTAAAGGTACCTCTGAGATGTAGTACAGTATGAAAGTACTAAAGGTACCTCTGAGATGTAGTACAGTATGAAGTACTATGAGTACCCTCTGAGATGTAACTAGTACAGTATGAAGTAATCAGCTCTATTAGCTTAGCATTAGGCTAACAGTTAGAAAGTGAGAGGGTTCCACGCGAGCAGTTGATAAACTATTAATAAATATTAGTAGGTTAAACTGAAAGTGAGGCGTGACTTTGTGTCCCCATGGAAACCGTTTAAAAAGACGTCACAGAGAACCGTTAGCCCGGTGGCTACAGCGGGTCACAGTAGTCCGCCTGGCCGAGCGGGGAGCCTCCAAAGCGGCCTTACCTGGAGAAAGCCTCCGGTGCTCGGCTGACACGGAGCTCTGGAAGAAGAAGAGAGCCAGCAGGCCGAGAAGAAGACAAGAAAACATGGCTGCTGTTGGTAAAGGTTCAGGCAGTTAACTGTGACATTCCTCCTCTGCTGCTCGAAGTCTGAGTTCCTTTCTGGATTCCCAAGTGCTCTTCAAATCTCGCTTGTTATCGCGATAGAGAAATATGTCAACAAAAGCCCCCCAATAAACTCGACCGCCCACTTTAGTGTTTCAGCCAACGAGAAGTTCCCGTGTTGATTGACGGATTCCCCAGCAAATCAGCGCTCTGTACCGGTTTACTGCGAGCCAAACAGAGGAGGACAAATGGAAAGGAGTGGGCAGATATTTTTCTTCACTTGGAGAAAGTTCGTGAAAAATCTTTGCCACGTCTGAAGCATTCCAGAGGCGGCGGGGGGTGGGGGGCTTATTGTATATATATATATATATATATATATATACATACACGTGTGAATAACAAGGCGGCCATCTTGATACAATGTTATATATCTTGATATAACGTGCTTTACTATGACTTTTATTTCAAATCTTTTTTCGACAGAATAATTTCAATGACGTTCTGCTCCTCATCAGACGACACGCTGAGAGGGACAGGAATAAAAGGGCAGGAAACAAATAGCGTACAGCTGTTTATTCATCTGACTTTTAGAATAATGCGACTCATTTGAATGGTTTTCACATGGAGAAAAAATAAAGACAAACTCTGCTAAGCTTCACTGGATCTGCTGGAGAGGTTATAGTAGTAGAAGTGAAATAAGTGGTTTCAGGTCAAACAGAAAACAAGCCGTTCAACATCTGGTGTAAAAGGAGAAGCTCATGCTGGCTAACGGACAATGTTGCCGTGAAGACGCAGTATCTCAGTCTCCGCCTCACAGGAGACGCTTAAAAAAACTAAAACCGGAGCAACAGAATCCGATTGTCCCGAATGTGTGGAAAGCATTAAAGCATTTGACCTCTGACCTGTGACGTCATCGCAGCCCTCTCCTGATCTGAGATCTGATTTAGTCCAAAATGAAACAGATCCAAATGATCTGATGATCTTTTAATGTTATAAACAATCCACTAATGTAATAATACATATTTAGTTTCATGCAGAAACCCGGTTTATTGAGGCGTTCTATCAAATAATGTCTGAAAGCTGAGGTCAGAGGTCGTTGGGGGGTTCTTAAGACTCAACCTCATAATAAGTGCACACACACACCGTCATTCACTCACATTAATAAGTCATGCTGTAATAAATATCAACATCCATAGCATCTATAAAATCTGACATTATTTTAGAATATAATAATAATATATATATATACACATACACATATATTAGGACTGTCAGTAGTTTAAAAAAGTCAACTAATTAATTGCACAGTTTGTTGTGCAAGAGTTAAGAAACATTGCTAAATACACACATTTCAATACTTGATTGTGTTTCATATCTCTTAAGTAACTTTGTTAGCAATGTTTCTTAACCCTTGAAGACCTAAAACATTCAGTCTGACTCAAATTGGTTGGTTGCCGTGGGAACGATTCGCCCTGAGCTGAGCCTGCCAGGACCGATGGGCGGAGCTCCATCTGGCTCCGGCCCTGCTGACCTCAGACAAGTATCCCAGCATGCATCGTGCAGTGGATGGTTGACCCCGTCAAAGACATGAACCCGATCCTCATGTTGAGGCCGAACGCGTCTCCGTACATTAGAATATAAACGTGACACGTGGAGTGAATATTAGTATGTTTACATCATGTGCTGCCTGGACGGCTCTGATCAGGGATCAAAAGCTCAGCGCGGGACCCCTGTTTGTGAAGAGAGCGGAGGACAGACGCGTGAGACGTCTCTTTGTCCTTTAAAGTCCAACCCAGGAGATTAATGAAGAACGTTCAAGTGGTCAGTCCTCTCCTCTCCAGCTCTCTGGTCTGCTTCAGCTCCTTGATCCTAGAGACACAGAGACATTGAGAGACAAAGACACAGGGAGACATTGAGACACACAGAGACACCTGCATTACCTGTGCCTGCAGCGTCTCAGGAACCTCATGATCTTGCGAGCTGCCTGGTCCTGTTTCTTGGTGAGGAACGAGCCCCTGACGGACAAACAATCAATCATAAGGACAGGAAGTGATTGGCAGGTTCTAATCAATACCTCCAAGTGAGCTTTCTCCCTTCACTGCTCACCAGTGGTAATCAATACCTGCTTGCAGCTGAGGTTCTGATACTGATCAGGTCCCCCCGGGGTTATTGATGAGGTCTTACTTGATCTTGGGGTTGTGGCCTGCGGCCCCCCTGGGCCCCCCCTTCAGCCTCTCGTACTCCTTGTAGCTGCGATAGTACTGCTGGATGAGGACCGCCGCCCGCCGGCTCTGCTGGAACCGCTTCTGCTCGTAGTAGGACCTGAACTTGGACTGGATCAAGATGGCCGCCTGGGTCATCTTCTTGTAGAGAGCATACTGGGGGGGGCGGAGACCAATAATCTGTTTATTGATCACACATGTGACTCCTCTTACCCACCACCTGCTCACACAACAAGACAATGAAGGCTGAAGTGTCTGTATGAAGATATTTGATCCCTCCTCTCTACGATGTGTTTGTTTCACAGGAAAGATACACAACATGACGTAGAGCAGGGCTGTCTAACTCATTCTAGGCCGGCGGCCACATGCTGCCTACTTTGATGTCCAGCGCGCCGGACCAGTAAAATCATAGCATCTCACACACATACACACACACAGTGACTACACACCACTAGTAGTCCGCTACATTACCTTCAGAGCTATCCATGTTAGCTAGCCAGAGAGAGAGACACACACACAGGTTAGTTAGTATCACACACACACACGCACACACACACACGCACACACATGCACACACACGCACACCTGTTTGTACTTCCTGTAGCATCTCTGTATGACGGCTGCAGCCACGTCCTGCTGCTCCTTTAACCTCCGACCCTGCAGACAGACGGAGCTGTTACGCTACACACTGTACACAACGCACGCGGCGGCGACCCAGCGCGCACCGTGTGTGTGTCTGTGTACCTTGTATCTCCTGAAGGCGCTCTGGATGATCCGCGCCGCGTCGTACAGCTCCCTCTGCTCCCCGTCCGTTAGTGTGAGCAGGGAGAAGTCCCTCTCTATCTTCCCATTGGCCGAGGCGTTCAGGAACTCCGCCCACGCTGCGGAGGAAGGGGGGCGGAGCCTGTGAAGGGCCAGGGCACTAAGGGGCGAGGGGGGGCACACCCGTCTGCAACACACACATACACACTTAGGGCCTCTGTGATAATACCCACAATGCACTGCTACCACAGAGGCGGAGCTAACCTGGGCGGGGAGTGCGTTTGAGCGTCGACCGTGTCGAGGTAAGTGGCCAGCCAGGTGTCCTGTAGAGGGATGTTGTCCCGCCTCTCTTTGAGTGGTGACTCCGCCCCCCCGGGGAAGTCCTCCTGTTTGATTCGCTCGGGGGTCGCCTCGATGATCTGCGCCGCCAGCGTCGCCATGTCAACCTGTGGGGGGTGTAACCATAGCAACAGGAGGTCAAGACCTCTGTGTGGTCACGGTGTGTGTGTGTGTGTGTGTGTGTGTGTACGTACCTGCAGCTCCTCCTCCTCCCCCTCGTTCTCAGCGTTCTCGCTGTAGCTCAGCAGCTCATCCTCCAGCTCACGCCGGCCCCCTGCCAGGGGGGCGTGAACGTGTGTGTTTGTGTGTGTGTGGCTGCTCTCGTAGTCCATGAGGTACAGCGGAGAGTCTCTGCAGCCTCCAGGCATCAAACCTGTGAGCGAGTAGTGATGATGGTCAGAGAAGGTCACAGAGAAGGTCACAGAGAAGGTAACAGAGAAGGTCACAGAGGAGGTAACAGGGAAGGTAAGGAAGTAGGTCACAGAGAAGGTCACAGCGAAGGTAACAGAGAAGGTAAGGAAGTAGGTCACAGGGAAGGTAAGGAAGTAGGTCACAGGGAAGGTCACAGGGAAGGTAAGGAAGTAGGTCACAGAGAAGGTAAGGAAGTAGGTCATAGAGAAGGTACCTGAGCCGAGACTGGAGCTCAATTCCTCCCCCCACACGGACACAGGGAGGAGGGGAGGGGACGAGGGCGAAGGGGGGGAGACCGGCAGCGAAGAGGAAGAGAGAGACGAGGGAGAGGAGGGGGAGGTGTCCATGGGGGCGGGGGCGCTGGAGTAGGCGGAGCTCGGTGAGGGGGAGGAGGGGTCACCAGGGGAGGGGAGGCTGCTGGATGAGCTCAGACCTAGAAGGCGGGTGGAGAGAGGGGGGGAGGGGGGGAGAGACACGGTTAGACCCAATCAGAGAACAGGAATCCAGTCACATGATGTCAGGTGTGTTACCTGTGTCCGGGCTGGTGGACGGGGGGCACGGGGACGGCTGTGGTTGTGGCGTGTGCGTGTCCCTGGGCGTAATGTGCGTGTGCAGCTCCTCCAGCGCCGTGGCGAGGTGGGTGTGTCCTCGGGAGCGAGCCACGGCGAGCGGCAGCCGGCCCAGAGAATCAGGGAGCCCGAGGGCGGAGCTATTCCACCTGTACAGGAGCTCCGCTGCCCTCTGGTGTCCCAGAGCACACGCCCACATCTGAGCCAACACACACACACACACACACACACACACACAGAGAGCCTAAGACTGACAGGACAACCGGCCAATCAGAGAGCAGGAGCTTAATAAGTGCGTGTGTGTCTTACCAGTGGCGTGCAGGAGAAGTGGTCGATGTTGAGAGGATCTACTTCCTGTTCCAAGTCCAGACTGTCGATGTTCACACTCCTACACACACACACACACACACACACACACACACACACACACACACACACACACACCAACATTTGTCTGTGTGTACCTCCAGTGCATCAGTGTGTGTATCAGGCGTGTGTGTGTGTGTGTGTGTACCTCCAGTGCATCAGAGTGTGTATCAGGTGTGTGTGTGTACCTCCAGTGCATCAGAGTGTGTATCAGGTGTGTGTGTGTGTGTGTACCTCCAGTGCATCAGAGTGTGTATCAGGTGTGTGTGTGTGTGTGTGTGTGTACCTCCAGTGCATCAGAGTGTGTATCAGGTGTGTGTACCTCCAGTGCATCAGAGTGTGTATCAGGTGTGTGTATCCCTGAGCAGCAGCCAGGTGGAGGAGGGTCATCCCGCGGTGACGGGCCGAGTGATGAAGCCTCTCTCCTCCTCCCCCCCCCCAACGTCCGCCTCTCATCATCCGCTCACAAACTCCCACAATCCTCCTCTCGAACCACTGAGGAGGACAAAGACAGAACCGGGTTCCTTATTGAACAGAGACGGGTCGACCTCTGTCCGTTACAGAAGCGCTGATGAACCGAGCTCAGAGCGGCGCGTAGCGGCGTGGACCCGCCTCCTCGTCCATATGCAAACCCCATGTAAATGAGGATCTTGTGTTTCTCCCTGAAGACTCCAGCCATGTTGGGTTAGTGTATTAACGACATACGTGAGATCAAGAGGGAAATACACAGTGGATGCGGTTTGTGTTGGTGGCATTAAATCAGACTACATGTGATGACGTGCTGACATGTCGTTTCCGGGCTTCCGTACATTTCTTAATATAGTTAGACAAGAATCATTCACAGCATCGGCATACGGAGTCCAAGCCGCTACGCGCCGCTCTGAAAAGGGAACCGGACACTTTCTGATTTGGGCGTCACTTGTTCATAAGAGGCGTAATCTGTAATATAAGCCTTTCTGATTGGCTGTTCAGATTAGGACAATTAGAGAAAGAGGCGGGTCCTTGATGCTAGCGGGCTGTTAGCCTTTAGCTGTAAATCGCACCTGTTCACGGTCCTGGGGTAGAGGGGGGGGGGGGGCCGTTGCCAGCTGGCTGCCATGTTGATGTTGATGATGCTGCTGGTTGTTGTCCCGGGAAACCATCTCTGCCATCCTGCGCTCCATCTGCTCCAGCCGATCCAGGATGGACATCCTGAACTGATTATCTGCACACGAAACACAGAGTGAGACTGAGTCTGCCTCACACACACACACACACACACACACACACACACACACACACAAAATCAGCGTGCTGCACAATCAATACAGGCTTATCCTAACCGATCACAACGACTTAAAGCCTATAGGCCAGAGGTCACTAACTGACTTATTTATAATACAAATATATATAATAATAAATAATAAAAGACTGTCAAGTCCAAATGCGAAGCAGAAAAGGAGAAATTCAAGCTTATCTTGCAGCTATTTTATTTGAACATGCAGAAATGCAGCCCTACTTTTGATTAGTTGATTGAGAGAACATTATTTATATTTGTAGTCACAGAAATATGTTCAGTTCTTTGTTACGTGAAAATAAATATTGTCAAAAGAGTTTTAGAATCGTACTGAATTCATTTGATTTGTTAGTCGTGTATTGATTACATGTAAATCTATTCCTCTAAGTCACATCTTCAGGACCTGCTTCTAGATACTTTCTCTAACTGGACCTCTTCACATTAGTTGAAGACTCCAGCTATAGGCTCACAACGCACGCACGCACGCACGCACAGACACACACACACACAGACAGACACACACACACACACACACACACACACACACAGACACACACACACAGGCACACAACGCACGCACGCACGCACAGACACACACACACACACACACGCACACAGACACGCACGGCTATTTACAGACACGGTCTGCCTCCACGTGTGACAAGCTGTGTGCGACATGTGACGCGTGAGGGTCTGACCGTCCAATGAGAGCCAGTCGAGCTGCGAGCTCGGCCGAGAGCTGGCGTTCCTCGCTCGGTACTCGAACAGAACCGAAGATGAGACAGAACCTCCAGACTCCAGAACTTGGAGAACCACCAGACCGGCCTGGTGGGCTGCAGGAGAGAAACAAGGTGTGAGAGAGAGAGTGTGTGTGTGTGTGTCTGTGTGTGGTGTGTGTGTCTGTGTGTGTCTGTGTGTACCAGGACAGTAGCAGCGTAGAACTCCAGGTTGGATCAGCGCTGCAGGAACTCTGCTCTGATCAAACAAACACGAGTATCGACCCAACAGCTCCATCCAAGGTCCTGTGATCAATACCTTCACGCCTCCCTGCACACACACAGCATCATAAAGCACCTTCGACAAGAGTATATATAGATATTAATTCATTATTGTATTATATGTATTATTGATTACCTCGGGGTAGGACCACTCTGGGGAGAAGTCAGTGATGGCGTTGAGGCGGGTGGGGGTGGTGGAGGCGAGTGGGTGAGGAAAGGGGAGGAAGGAGGAGGAGGGTGAGGGTTGGGGAGGCACCATGTACCGCACCCCCGCCAGGAACACGGGTGAGTTCTGGGCGGCGCCGTGAACAGCCGCGGGATTGGCCACCTCGGTGATGAGGTCAGAGATGAGGTCGGGGAACTGGCTGTCAAAAGAGATGTCAAGTTCCTCCCCTCCTCGCTCGCAGGGCTCCGCCTCCTCCTCCACGTTCGTGTCCATGCAGGCATCCTCCGGGTCGTAGCCTCGCGTCCCCTCCTTCTTCACCTGCACAGGGGGCGTGGTCAGGTGACCAGTGTGCATTGCGACAGCACCGGGGGCGGAGCTACCGGACAGAGCTCCTGGTACAGACAGGCGATCGTAGGGCGGGGCCAGGACCAATGGCTGCGTCCCATTGGCCGGCTGGGGGGGTCGGCCTACCAAGTCCAACGAGGCGGCGCTCTTTCCTGTGTGATGCCGTGGTGACAGGCAGGGGGAGGCGTGGCTTGTCTAAAGCAGAGAAATCAAACCACAGTGAAAAGGAGCAGATGAATACGACTTAAAAGAAAGAAAATAGTCCCTTTAAGTCTCACCTGCAGCAGAGCGAGCTTTGTGGGAGGAGCTATGCCTTCATCATCATCATCATCATCTCTCCCTGACTCCTCTGCCTGCCTCCCCCCTTGCGACTCCCCCAGAGCTCCCAGCTCCAGACATATGGGGAGCAGGGGCGGGGTCACAGAGGGGGTGGGAGACAGCGAGAGGGGAGGGGGGAGGGAGGAGGAGGGCGGGGAGGAGTAGGAGGAAGGGTCTCTCCTGTCTGCCTCTGAGGAGGAGGAGGAGGAGAGCGAGGACAGCGATGAGGGAGGGGACACGGAGGATGGAGGAGTGGAGGTGGGGGAGAGGGAGAGAGCTACGGAGGGGGGAGAGAGGGGAGAGGAGGAGCAGAGTACAGGAGACTGGTTGGGGGAGGCGGGAGGAGGCGGCCCGCCGTATGTCTGACCCTGTTTGGGGGAGTTGAGAAAAGAGTCAGGGTCAAAGGTCGGGTGTACCACCGAGGGACACAGGGGGGGCGGTGCTTTAGCGGGTGGGGAGGCGGCGGAAGGAGGAGGCGAACAGAGGGGGGTGACAAGCAGGCCTCCCACGACGGGGGAGGGGAGGAGCGTGAGGGAGAGGGTGGCAACCTCTGGCGCCTGGACGGGGGGAGGAGGGAGTGAGGGGGGGGGTGGAGGTGAGGCGGGCCCGCTGGCAGTGGGAGACGGCAGAGCAGGAGAGAGCAGTAAGTGGCCCGGGCGCGGGAGCGGAAGCCCCGCCTCCTCGCCTCCTGCCCCCGTTGCCTCTCCTCTGAGGGTGGCGGTCGTTGCCATGACGATGACAGCGTTCTGGGGCAGCGCCACCGTCGTCAGGTTGCCGCAGCAGTCGCCGTGGTTGCTGTGGTTACCCACGGTGACGGTCGCCCTATTAGGCGAAGGGGGCGACGAGGCGGAGCTGTGAAAGAGGACATGGCGGACATGTTTACGTGGTAGCGTGGTTAAGATCTACTATCATTAAAGAGACTTACGTGGACGAGGGGCAGGGAGAAGAGGCGGGGCTGCTCTGAGCCTGGAGGCGGGGAGGTTTGGCTCCTCCTCCCTCTGCTGTGAGGGGGGGCGGTCTGCAGGCGGAGGGGGGGAGTTTGGGGGAGATGATGCGATGCTTGGTGCTGTTGCAGCGGTGGGGAATGTTCACACCTGAAGACACTGCACAGATACACAGCGAGGTCACAGCGAGGTCACAGTAAGGTCAAAGCGAGGTCACAGCGAGGTCACAGTAAGGTCAAAGCCAGGTCACAGCGAGGTCAAAGCGAGGTCACAGCGAGGTCAAAGCCAGGTCAAAGCCAGGTCAAAGCCAGGTCACAGCGAGGTCACCTTGGGCCGTGTCACAGAGGCAGGCGTGTGTTCGCGGCTGAGGTTTGGTTCTCTGCAGGTCCAGAATGTGCTGAACCAAGTCCTCGATGCTGAAGTCCCCCGAAGACACAGAGCACCCAATACTGTGAACTGAGGAGAATACACGTGAGTACTGGACAGAGTGGGTCTTGGGCCCAGGGTTGAGAGTAACCATTCATAATGAGTATGAGTATATATATATATATATATATTAATACTACAGAGTAGTAGACACTAGCAGCCAGGTATTTGGGTAGTACTTGTATCTGATACGTACACATGGGCCTCAGCTGGCTCAGCAGGTCTTCTTGGCTCCACCTCACGCTGTCATGGCGGTCACTCACTGCACACAGCAGTGGACTGCATTTCCCAGAATCCTCCAGGGACGGCACGTTCAGGTAGTGGACCAACACGATGTCCGGGTTCTGTCATCCAGAAACATATTGATTAGATTGATTGGGGAACTGGGGTCGGAGTCAGCTGACCTTTGGCGAGTGTTTCGGAGTTAACCTGCAGGAGCCAGTAGCAGCGTCTGTGGAATGTCGGCACGATGGAGGAGTGGACGTAGCAACCGTACAGGCACTGAAAGAGACGCATGGTTAACACACAGGTGGAGAGACGCCGGCCAACAACTTTAAACCAAAAACGAGACGGCGACCGGTAACGTCACACGCGAGGCCCAGAACAGAGACGTTTACAGCTGACGCTACCAGCTCTCCTCCTGTTGACTGGTTGTTAACAGGGTTACTGACCTCCATGCCCTGGACCTTGAGCTTCATGTGGTCCTCTCTCGTGGTCTTCCCATCCTTTCTCTTCTTCCAGCAGTACCCGTCCTTCCTGTACTTCACCTTCTTCCGGTTGTAGAGGACAATGCTGCCATTCTTGGGCCTGAAAGGACAGACAGACACAGACGTGGGTTATTAATCCGTCAGATGTAAGCAGGCGCCCTGAGGAGGACCGTGCAGAGAGCCGGGAGGAGGACCTGGTCTTCAGGGAGCAGGAGAGCCACTCATCATGTCTGTCGAAGGAGATCAGGTAGGACGCAATCTCCTGCAGACACAGGGATGCATTTCACTTTGCGCATGATTTCCCTCCTGGGTGAGAAGGCGGTGGTGCTAACGGTTGCTCACCTCGTTGGTGTTCCAGCGGAGCCGGTCGTTGGGCAGACTGGAGAGACGAGGAAGGCACTCCATCAGCTTGTTGGGGAGGAACACCTTCCTCTGTCCCTTGTTCTCTGCACACCCACACAGACACACATCAGAAACATCAACAACACAAACATCTCATCCCAGTGTTTCCCCATGGGGGGGGTGGAGCAGAGTTAAACCAGATCACCTGCTCCGGCGATGACATCACCGGTCAGGTCCACACACACAGAATGCAAGTCGCTTTGACGTTACCATAGCAACAGAGCTTGGGGTGAGAGGGGGGGGGGGGTCTACATCTACAAGTGTGCTCAGCTGATGTCACAAACTGACCTGTCTCCGTGGAAACCATCTCCTTGTTGCTCATGGCGACAAGTCCATGCAGGATGACTCACACAACGCACCGCCGCCCACGCTGCCTCTCTTGCACACACACACACACACACACACACACACACACAGTCAGAGCGATAGGAAACACAGTTCGCAACAGAGACTAGTATATCTCTCACGCGCGCGCACACACACGCCTGAATACAAGCTAGATCTACACACACTCCTTCAAAAGTTCAACTTGCACCCTTTTTAATTGTGGTGTGCATGAGCCCAAGTGTGTGTTTTTTATTTGGATTCCTACATTTAGTGTGTGCGAGACCCACACACCACAATAAACAATAACAACAGTAAACGGTGTTGACAGTCGGCTGGCTTTCTGTCACTCGCACACACGCTCGATTTCCGGAGGCCCGGCTCACACCGCGGACTCGCCTGGCCCCTGAGGCCGCCTTCCGGAGCTCCTCTCCGGCCCTACTGAGCTATACAGCTAGAACCGAAGCTAACGCTGTCCGTTAGTCATCGTGACAGAACAGACCACCTGAAGACAGGTTTGAACATACATGTAGCTCCCGTTATTGGCGCATTACGTTACGGTAACGATAACAAATGAGCAGCATTTATCAACATGTGAATAAATAACGTTATGTGGTTTAGCTGCTCAGCTAGCCAGCTATGCTAACACTAGCTCCCCGATTAGGCAGAGGGGCTCTACATCCGGGTTACGAGCGCTGACCCGAGCCGGCCAACGACCACTAGCCTTTCGAAGATATGACGGTATTTTAGTTAATAAAGAGCTGGCATGCGTCAACAGGACGCGCCTACAGGCACAAACGGCCTCTGAAGCGCTTTACCTTCCGCCTTCAGCACGGGGGCCATCTTCTTTCTGTGACGTCACCACCCACTGGGGGTTATAACTTTGCTGTTATACTTAACATTATATTAATTGTTCTATATAAAATCTAAATGTTGTTAAACGACCCTCATTAACACACCTAACTGCTTTCAGTTTAACTATCTGATCATGAAGATGTAGTAAGTGGAGGGAACTCATTCAACTAATATAAGTTCAACATAAATATTGTCCTCCAGTGAGGGAAGGTTTATTTATTAAGGAACCCCTTCTATGATAAATATGACAGAAGAAGAAGCGTCAGGTTCCTGAAGGATTATTATGAAACATTCCTCATTAAAGCTGATGTTCATCTGCAGAATTGTGACAATGAATCTACAGGAGGAGCAGAGACGGATCAGATCAGAGACACCAGTAGAGAAAAATATCTGCTTTATTTTGTAGAAAAGTGGAGCTTGTTGTCCAGCTGGAAGCTTCACCTTCAAAAACCAGCAGTTCACTGGCTCGTCCAGTCCTCACAAGTGTCCTCACAAGTTTTCACGTCGTCATATGTCCTTACAAGTTTTCATGTTCTCAGAAGTCTTCATATGTCCACAAATGTCCTGACAAGTCTTCACAAGTGTCTTTAGAAGTTGTCTCCTGTCCTCACACGTCTTCATATGTCCACACGTCCTCACATGACCTCACGTCAGTCAGACTGAAGCTGTGACCTCAGATCAGATTTGACGTTGCAGCTGTTCTATACAAATATCCCAGATTATTTCCAGGCTTCATGGCGTCTTTCCGATGAGTTTGTTTGTCTTGCAGATGTTTTGGATTTAACATATCAGCTCATTTGATTATTCCACTTGAAATGAAATGGATCCTTCACAATAAAAGCCTACAGGAAGGTCTTTTACTGTGAAATGTGCAGAGGTGTCGTTGGCAGCAGCAGTCTTTCCTGATAAGGCTCATTCAGGTGATCTCTGGTCAGAGTGGAGGAACCACCGCCAGTAATCAATAACCAATATCTGATCAGCTTCATCCACCGTGAGGAGGGGGAGTAGAAAAACACGGGACGGGGAGACCCCGAGCGTGTTGGGGGCGGGGTCATAATGTCAAAATACCACCTCCCCCACTTGTGACAGGTTGGTCATCACATGCCCTGCCTGATGCTCTGGATGATCTGGAAGATGGCTGCAACACACACACACACACACACACACACACACACACACACACACACACACACACACACACACACACACACGTTAACCCGGAGGATAAAGGGGTTCAATCAAGCTAGACTAAAGCCTAGTTTATGCTTCTGCGTTTTCAGAGACGCAAGGACACGCAGACACAGGGGACAAGCAAGAGTCCCTTGCGTGTTAGGGGTGGGAATCTCTTGGCACCTCACGATTCGATTCCGATGTCAACGATTCGATTGTAAACAGATTGTAAACAGATAAAACGATTATCGATGCATCTCGATTTTCTACATTTTCTCAAATCTGAGTTTGCTCCTCAGAGGTTGCTAATCACGTCCTACTTTATTTGATAATTAAAGAAAATCAACAGATGAATTACCTTCTCTAATTTTTTATAAGAGAAAAAAAAAATCACAAATATGATTTTCTATCAACAATGCAAGAACCAACGCAGCTTGCATTTCAACACAATATGGAAGTAGCCGATGTAAAAAAAAAAATTAAAAATATTATAGTCTCAGACCGGTCCGTATTTGTAAAATACCGGAAAAAATTCCAAATCTGTGAATATTTTGCCAACTTTCAATACAGATCGACTTTTTGGAAAATGGAAATAATGATGTGCGCGGGCTCCTCCATAGTTCGGTAACGTTATTAGATACTCAGACTCAGACTGAAGGACCGGTCTGCGAGCTGGACGCATCGCTCTAAATGTGCCGGTAATGATGGTAAATGACGCTTGTAGCTGGTTGTCATCTACGCTCCACTACGGTTACCGAAGGGGGGCGTTTGTTTTTTGATGTTTTATCTCATAATTTCGACTTTCGATCCCCTTTCTTCAGTGTGGAAATGCGCTTCTATAGTTGTGTGGATGCATCACTCCAGCCAATCCAAAGACGGGGTTTGTAACCAATCAGGTAGAGACCGTGGTGACTGGCTCCGCCCCCTCACTGTCAGAAAGAACGACAGCGAGCGCGTAGAAAACACCTTCGAGCGAAGTTCACGCTCCGTGAGCGAGCAAATATCTCGCGCGATATGAACTTTTTTTATTTTTCATTCCGGTTATTAACTTTTATGAATATGAGAGAAATCGAAAAATCGTTTTTCTAGACTAGCGTTGAAAGCTACGCAGCCTCCCGCAGCGCACACGGCTGTGATTGGCCTGATAACTACGTCCTTTACGGAGTCCCACATTTCCAGTTTGTTCTGGAGGTGAATTGCTGTGCAACACACGCAAGACTTTAGAACCATGAATGGAACCGAGTGCGTCGACGCGACGACGCGTTAAGACGCCAGAAACATGCGCCACTCTTAAGAGTTTCTCCTGCTCCAGATTTTTTAAATTTCTCTTCTCTGCCACACTCACCTGATCCACAAACCACGAAGACGAACAGAGCGAGAAGCCACGGGCCGACTGGAGACTTCTCCTCATTCACAGGCCTCTGTTAAACGCACACAAAGAGACACACACACACACATCATAAATACATCGAAGATCAATGAATTCATCAGAAACCACTGAAGCACTTGATAAACATGTCTGATGGTTTCAGGTTCTCCGCTGATTGTCTTCTTCTCTCGTGTATTAAAACCCAGCAGCTGAAGACAGCTGACTCCATGCAGAACTCCGTTGACTAATCGGTGAATTTAACGCTGCCGTGCGCGTCTCAGCACCGTGGCCATATAAAGCACAGTCCGCGACCGGTGACCGAGCCGTGTGACGTCATGTTCCAATTCCTCATAGTTTAAATTCGCGTTCAAGACAGTTTCGCCCGCTGTGGGAGCGCATGTGTGTGTGTGTGTGTGTGAGCGCATGTGTGTGTGTGTGTGAGCGCATGTGTGTGTGTGTGTGTGAGCGCATGTGTGTGCCGGATTGAAGACGATATGGAGGCCAGTGAAGATGAAGTCGTGTAGCTCTGTGGGACCACAAGACCAAACTAATATCCCAGAATTCTGCTTCTGTCACTTCCTTCACGCTTGCCGGCTGCAAATGCTAATGTTAGCTCTCCCGATGCTAAGAGCTATCTGCACCGCTCGTATCTTGATAATATTCTAATATATTCTTATAATATGAATGGAAGCACTGAAAGCGACATATAAATATGGTATATGTTTGATAAACCAGACCCCAGGAAGCTGTATGAGGCTCCAGAACCAGTCAGACAAACTTGTCTGTTAGCCGTTAGCTTTTAGCTGTCAGCCATTAGCCTGGCTGTCGGTACCGATGTTTTCTGGACGTGTCCCCGCTGTGTGATGGTCTTGCTGTGCCGCTCGTTCGCCACTTTCATCCGCTGCACCGCCGACATGTTTGAGGCTCCACCACGGGGGTCCGGAACCGACCGGGAGGAGGACAGGGGTGGAAGCGCGGCGGTACCGGTGAAAGTGTCGGGCTGCACGCGAATCTCTGACGGCGGTTTGTCGGTCCGAATGAAATGCTAACTGCTAGCCGAAGGAGGCAGCTGAGAGAGCTAGCTATGAAGCGACTCCCACGTCACGTGACGCGGGACAGTCTGCCCTCTAGTGGCGGAAAAAAATAAATGAGTTTTTATGAATAAAAATAAAATTGTTATGGTCTTACTGTCTAATGTTGTGCGCCACGTGCCATATCAAATTCATTGGATGTCCAACATACTTTGGCAATAAATGTTCCTGATTCCTGATACATATACAGACACACCACGGGTTACAGGAAGGGGAGGTGCCGCATTACACGTCTCAACCACAGTTACAGTCGTGAGAACAAGCTGCTCTTAATTGTAACTCTTTACTCAGGTAAACCAGCGCCTAGGTCTTCCCCAGGTTGTCCCACGCACCTGAATCCACCCTGGGTCCTAATTCCCTCCATGTACTGCTTCTTAAATTATTACGTACATCAATGTACCAACATACATTTATAACATATACCAGAACTACTGAACCAAGATCATGCAGCTCCCTGATAAAATCAACGTGTTTCTGCAATTAATTGCAATTAAAAAGTGTATTCGCTGCACACGAGTAGAATATATATATATATATATACTATATATATACTATATATATATATATATATATATATATATATATATATATATATATATATATATATATATATATATATATACTATAACAGATATGACAGTGTGTCTGTGTGGAATCAGATATATAATTCATATTACAGACATATTGATTCATGATATAATGAAGCAGCATAAGCCTAGTGGAGTTTCTCTTTTATTTAATTACATTGTGCAGTAAGACTGCAGCTGGTCCGCACGCACACACAAACACACGCACACACACAATCACACAGTGTTCTGCTGGCTGTGATGTAGCCAGGGGTCAGAGGTCATCGGTAGGATGTCTACCTGAACTTTTCCTTCAGTTCACTTCTTTGTTAGTGGAGTTTCAGCCTGACGTGTCCGGCGTTCATGGAGGTCAGAGGTTGGCTGTGGTCACCATGGCAACGAGTCTCTAGCAGCCCAACCCGCTGATGGAGCCGATGCGGTCCATTTTCATCCCGAAGCATCCTCTCCCTCCTCCCACCATTGACTTCCTACTCCGCCTCCTCGTCATCTTGGACTGGTGACGAAGGAGATCCAGCATGAGCCGAGGGACCGCCTCCTGCACGCCGCCGGCCAATCCACTCGTGGCACCGCGACTCACAACCAATCCTGTGGAGGCAGAGGAGGGGGAGAGGGCGGGGCGTCCGGCTGAGCCCTCTGTGATGTCATCAGAAGTGGGAGAGGCCAAGATGAGAGAAGCGAGGCGAGAGCCGAATAGAGACTGTAAATTCTGTGGAGGGAGTTTAAAATTACACATAAATGTACATTCACCAACACGTCAACACAACAACACTCACACCTGTTAACCCGTCAACGCGTAAACATGTTAACACCTCAACCCATGAAGATGTAAACGCGTCAATGCGTAAACATGTCAATAGTAAACATGTAAACATTTCATCATATCAACATGTCACTATGTAAACAATCAGCATGTACTGTTTGTACACGGAAACATGTACAAATAATGACCTTTGTTTACTTAGACAAATGTACTGAAGATCTACTCAAAGAAGATGATGCTGAATATGATGGTGATGATGACGAAGATGGTGGTCTCCACGGACCTGTTTGTTGTCTCGTTGACTTAAAGGTTTTGCCTCCATGGCGCTGGCGAGGAGGAGGAGGACGACGACGAAAGAGGAGGAGGATGAAGCGGCCATCTGTTTTCTCAGAGGAAGAGAAGAAGGAAACTTAGTTTCAATGAATGAAGCATCGTCATGGCATCAGATTTCCCTCGACCCGGAGACCAGGATGCCCTGACTACCATGAGCCCAAGATCACAAGTATACCAAGACCACCCAAGACCACCAGGGCGCCCTGACTACCATGAGCCCAAGATCACAAGTATACCAAGACCACCCAAGACCACCAGGGCGCCCTGACTACCATGAGCCCAAGATCACAAGTATACCAAGACCACCCAAGACCACCAGGGTGCCCTGACTACCATGAGCCCAAGATCACAAGTATACCAAGACCACCCAAGACCACCAGGGTGCCCTGACTACCATGAGCCCAAGATCACAAGTATACCAAGACCACCCAAGACCACCAGGGTGCCCTGACTACCATGAGCCCAAGATCACAAGTATACCAAGACCACCCAAGACCACCAGGGTGCCCTGACTACCATGAGCCCAAGATCACAAGTATACCAAGACCACCCAAGACCACCAGGGTGCCCTGTCTACCATGAGCCCAAGATCACAAGTATACCAAGACCACCCAAGACCACCAGGGTGCCCTGACTACCATGAGCCCAAGATCACAAGTATACCAAGACCACCCAAGACCACCAGGGTGCCCTGACTACCAGGAGCCCAAGATCACAAGTATCCCAAGACCACCCAAGACCACCAGGGTGCCCTGACTACCATGAGCCCAAGATCACAAGTATACCAACACCACCAAGAGCCCAAGACCACCAGGGTGCCCTGACTACCAGGAGCCCACGATCACAAGTACACCATGACCACCCAAGACCACCAGGATGCCCTGACTACCAGGAGCCCACGATCACAAGTATACCAAGACCACCAGCAGCCCAAGACTACTAGGACCCCAAGACCACCAGGATCGCTAGAATACCAGGTCACCAAGACAACCAGGATCCCAAGACCACCAGGATCCCTAGACGACCAGGGTGCCCTGACTACCAGGAGCCCAAGACTACTAGGACCCCGAGACCTCCAGGATCCCTAGAATACCAGGGTTCCAGGGAATCTGTAGACTACCAGGGTCCCAATGAAGAATAATCATCTTTATATAAAATGTGCTCTGAGGAACATTGAAGAGTCAGTGAATCAGTTCTGTAGAAATCGGATCACACGGGTCGCGTTTAAAATGATGTGTGAGTTCAGATCAAATGAAATCCAACCAATCAGATCATGTCAAATTAATTGAGGCAGGACTGGAGTATTAAACCCACCGACTACTTGAAACCACCAAAGAAGAATAAAGATGAATGAAATACGAACTCACCTCAGAAGGACGAGAAGAAATACTCCAACAGAGAGCTTGTGGTCTTCACGATCGGTGAGGTCCGATAAAGTTATTGATTACGTGTCTGTCCTGTCTCAGTGTCAGGACGGGTCGCTGCTCCACCACCTCACACACCGCCTTAAGTACTGCTCGGCGCTGTGATGTCACACATTCTTACACCCGTTACCCCCGACGACGGGTCTCCCACACACACAGACACACACACACACACAAGACAAAGGTAGAAGATCAGTGTGTGGAAACGTTGGAACATGGAGGAAGAGACACAAATATCAACCAATCAGAGGAAAAGGTGCACCTGTGAAAGAGTTCATTCACAAATAACTAATGGGTTTTAAATCACGGCTTACTGGAGTGCGTGAGAAGGTTTCAGAGGTCCCCGAGGAGTAGGCTCCTGGCCTTTAAGACGTTCCAAGACATTTATGACGATATGAGATGTCTTTTGGAGTTCCAGGACCATCCAGGAGTTACCTGAGGTCCTTGACGAGTTTCATTACCTTTCAGTTCGTACTAGAGGTCCTTGATTGGGTTCCAGTTCCTTTCAGGTGGTACCAGAGGTCCTCGAGGGGGTTCCACAGTTCCAGTAGTTCTAGCGTATGCTGCCAGGGAACCCCTAAGCATCAGTCCTGTTGCTATGGTGACCAGGTCAATGGTCAGTGGAGCATCGGCATCCTCCTCTTCCTCCTTCAGGAGTCTGATGATCACTGTCCTCTCTCTCACACCCTCGTAACCTCTGACATCGGTTGTCCCGCCTCATCGTAAACAGTAACCACGGCGACCACGTTGTTGTGAGCAACTATTTCCTGTGGAAGGGGGTGGTGCCACATCGTTCACAGGGGAGCTATGTGTGTGTGTTTAATGACCCCCCGTCGTCTTTGTCCCAGTCAGACAAAACCCCGCCCCCATTCATCCACCGACGTCATCGGCAATGCACATAAAACACACACACACACACACACACACACACACACAGGGAGACTGGCTCATCAATCACCCCATTAAAGAGAAAGAAGTCACTGATCACCAAACCAAACCTCTGTGTTTTTGTTTGTGTGTGTGTTGTGACGCACAACATTCCTGTCCGTCCACACACACACACACACACACACACACACACACACACACTAAAAAACCATGTTAAACCCTTCATAAATATAATTTAACACACTATAATACTAATTATTAGACCATAATAAACGCTATATCAAATATATTTATCACACTATAATATATGTAGGTATTAGACTAGAGTGTCATTATTGTACTAGTTTAAATGTAATTATTACACAATAATAAATGTATCCATTACCTAAAATAAATTGAATTATTACACTGTAATAAATGTAATGCCAAAGTAAGATACACTTAGTCATTTTCCAACCTGTAAATAAAAACTTATTTTTAAACATTTACTGGATCAATAATATTATTATTATTATCACTATTATAGTTGTATATTGTATGAATTCTCATGTATTCAAACTCATGTTTGATTCTTAGTAAAACAAGTAAAACACAGAAGTTTCATTCTTTTGTCTTTATTGTGTTCATATAGAAAACATCATTAATGGAATTATAGCTAGGAGGGCGGAGTCAGACCCGCCATGACCTCTGACTTCTCACCACCTCAGGAGGGTTAGGGTTAGGGGTTAGGAGGGGCTTCAGAATCATCAGGTCATCAATCGGAGGTCGCTGCGCCAGACAGGAAGTCAGGCCGGAGCTTCAGTGGATTTTAGGGTGGCGGTAGTCTTTCCCGGCAAATTTGGCCTTGTCTCCGAGCTCCTCCTCGATCCTGCAGGTCAAAGAGGTCACAAGGGTCAGGGTGTGTCTGATGGACATCGTTATTCATCTGTCAACTCGGACTAAATAACTTACTTAATGCTTTTACTTTGTAAACTAAAACTCCATGCTTTTACTTTGAATAGTATTGTGTAATTGACGGAAGGTTTTTACCTCATCAGCTGGTTGTATTTGGCGAGACGCTCTGACTGCAGGGAGCACCGTTCTTATCTGAGACAGACAGGTAGAGGAGGAGGGTGAGACAGGTCCCCACTGAATTAGAGACTTGAATGAACCGTTGTTGTTTTGTTTGTTTTCATCCTTTTACTGATCCACCTGTCTGTGTGTCTTTCTCCCTGTCTGCCTGCCTGTCTATCTGTCTGTGTGTCTGTCTACCTGTCCAGTGCAGAGGCCGACCACCAGGTCAGAGATGAAGGTGTCTTCAGTCTCTCCGGAGCGATGGCTGACCATCACACCCCAACCGCTGCTCTGAGCCAGCTTACATTTGAGGGGGGGGACAAATCACCACATCATGATCGATCAATACTTCTCTCAGTAAGAGAGGGACAGACAGACAGGCAGACAGATAGATAGGTAGACAGACAGACAGGTGTCTTACGCCTGGATGGACTCGGTCACAGAGCCGATCTGGTTGACTTTGAGCAGCAGACAGTTACAGGCCTTCTTGTCCACCGCCTGCTGGATCCTCTTTGGATTGGTCACCGTCAGGTCGTCTCTTACGATCTGATTGGTCGAACACACACACACACACACACACACACACACACACACACACACACACACACACACACACACACACACACACACACACACACACACACACACACACACACACACACACACACACACACACAAATCACGTGAATGTGTTTTGTAGCGGTTCTTTGGTCTGATCAACTATTCAGACAAACAGACACAGATCACCTGTCTCACTGTTCTGTCTACCTGTCTGTCTGTCTCACCTGGATGTCTGTGGAGGCGGTGAACTTGGCCCAGTTCTCCCAGTCGTCCTGGTCGAATGGATCCTCGATGGACTGGACTGGAGACGGGAAGAGAGACAGACAGGAAGGGTGAAGTATAAGTGGGTAACGTGCACACAGGGAGTCATACTCGTGCACGGTGCCGTGGTACTCCTACACTACCTGGGTAGTTCTTGATGAAGGTGCGGTACAGGTCTCCCAGCTGGTCTCCACTGATGTGTCGGGTCGGGTCGTCAGGAGACTTGAAGTCCAGGTCGTACTTCCCGCTGCGGAAGAACTCGGAGGCGGCGACGTCCATGCCGATGATGATCTTGTCGGGGTAGCCGGCCTTCTCGATGGCCGTCTTCAGCAGCTCCAGAGCTGCAGACCAGAGACAGACGGCGTTCTACTCGGACCTGGCCAAGGGCTTCGTGTAGGATACCGTGGAACAGACAGACAGGCAGACGGGTGTCTCACCCTCGTTGTTCTCCAGGATGTTGGGGGCGAAGCCGCCCTCGTCTCCCACGTTGGTGGCGTCTTTTCCGTACTTCGCCTTGATCACGTTCTTCAGATTGTGGTACACCTGAACATCACAATACAGTCAGACAAATAAGTACTACTACAAGTAATACTGCCAGTGCTAATACCACAGAACGCGCAGCACCTCGGCGCCGATCCGCATGGCCTCGTGGAAGTTGGCGGCTCCAACCGGGAGGATCATGAACTCCTGCATGGCCAGTTTGTTTCCAGCATGGCTTCCTCCGTTGATGACGTTGAAGGCCTGCGGAGGATTCATCCGACTTAAGTAAACTACGCCATCTCCATGGTTCCCCAAGCCACTGGCTGTGATTGATTGTTTATCGTATTGGCTCGTTGATAATTAATAATGGAAGCTGCTGAGCTCAGAGGCAAAGCCCCTCCCACCAACCAGAGGCCCCTCCCACTCACAGGGACTGGAAGTATGACGTCTTTATGTCCAGCGAGGTCTGCGATGTGGCGGTAAAGAGGAACTCCCTTCTCCGCTGCTCCGGCCTTACAAACCGCCAGCGACACTCCCAGGATGGCGTTAGCCCCGAACTTAGCTGTGGGCAGACAGACGGGTCAGACAGACGGGTCAGACAGACGGGTCAGACTAAGGGACAGACTAAGGGACAGACAGAAAGGTCAGACAGACGGGTCCTCACCTTTGTTCTCAGTGCCGTCAAGCTCCAGCATGAACTTGTCGATCTTCTCCTGCTCAACAACGCTGAAGTTCTGGAGAGACCGACAGAAAGTCAGGTAGACGGGCAGGTAGACGGACAGGTAGACGGACAGGTAGACGGACAGGTAGACGGGCAGGTAGACGGACAGGTAGACGGACAGGTAGACGGGCAGGTAGACGGGCAGGTAGACGGGCAGGTAGACGGGCAGGTAGACAGACAGGGAGACAGACAGGGAGACGGGCAGGTAGACAGACAGGGAGACGGGCAGGTAGACAGACAGGGAGACGGGCAGGTAGACAGACAGGGAGACGGGCAGGTAGACAGACAGGGAGACAGGCAGGAAGACAGACAGGGAGACGGGCAGGTAGACGGCAGGTAGACGGGCAGGTAGACAGACAGGGAGACAGACAGGGAGACGGGCAGGTAGACAGACAGGGAGACGGGCAGGTAGACAGACAGGTTTTTATCTTGGAGGTCAAATAGAGTTTGTAAATGACGCGGTTACCTGCGATCAGGTTGGGGGCGATGTCTTTGTTCACATGGTCCACGGCCTTCACAGTGCCTGATGGAGAGGACACCTGTAAGCACAGCCTCAGGTAGGTGAACCCTCAGCCCACTACTGCCTTGCTCCTACCTTTGCCCAGGTAGCGGCTCTTGTCCCCGTCACGAAGTTCCAGAGCCTCGTGGACTCCGGTGGACGCACCGCTGGGAACAGCTGCCCTGAAGAGACCTGAGAGACCCACAGAGAGAGACAGACAGGCACAGAGAGACGGGCAGAACGTTTCAGTTGTTGAAAGGTTCTCTTGTGATGAAGCTCCACTAACAATTCCCTCCACTAGTTTGTGCTAAGCTAAACACAGCCTGAAGATGTCTGCATATATTATACACACATACATATATGTACACACATACATACATACATACATACATATACGTGCACGTGTATATATAGCTCACCCTTGGCCGTCCACAGGTCCACCTCCACCGTTGGGTTTCCTCTGGAGTCCAGAATCTCCCGAGCGTGAATCTTAGTGATGGACATCCTGACTGAGGGAGAGAGAGACAGGTAATACACATGTGGCTTATTATTGTTGTATTATTGTCATTCATGTCAATAAAGTTTGACTGAATTTGAATTTGGTAAAAATGGAAAAAAACAACAAATTATGAAGCAGCGTGAAACTAACATGTGTGAGCGACCTGCTGCAGAGATCCTGTGTAGCGCCATGATAGCTTCATGACGTCAGAACGCTAACCCCTAACACCCGTGCACCTCCGCCCAGCCAATCACAGAGCCTCCCTCCCGCTATGGACCAATAGGTGAGAGGAGAGACCATTGTGGCGCATAGGAGGGGGCAGAGAGAGAGAGAGAGAGAGAGAGAGAGAGAGGACCCTTCCCGAGTTATTAATACCGTAGGTGTGTGTGGAAGGGGGCGGGGCCCCGGGGGGCCCTTTGACCTTTCCCTGCCCTTTCTACAGAGGTCATGACTTTCTCCGTGATATTATAGAATTACTCACACATGCTTATTAATGTACTTGACATTTGCAGTATCAGCATGCTAGCATTTGCAGAGAAGCACCAGTAGAAACGGTGGTAGCAATATTAGCATGCTAGCATTAATGACATGGATATTATCAGCATTACCATATTATAATATTATAAGAAGCAGTTTTCAAAGTATTCTATTAGCTTTAGCAGTATTTTTAGTGTTTTAATGGGTCTCTCTGTGTGTGTGTGTGTGTGTGTGTGTGTGTGTGTGTGTGTGTGTGTGTGTGTGTGTGTGTGTGTGTGTGTGTGTGTGTGTTGATAGCTCACACAACAGCTGAGTGGTAACAGCACACTTTAAACCACTTATGGTCTTTACAAAGACATTACTTTATTAAACCAAACACACACTGCAGTAGAGGACAGACAAGATGTACTAATACTTCTACTACTACTGCTGCTACTCTGAGTACTACTGCTTAAAGGACTGGTTCTACTACTAGTCCTAGAATTATACCTCACTACTATTACACAGTAGTACTCATGTGATAGCTCTGGGTTGGTGTACACAAAGTACTAGGTTGTGTACTAGAACGCAGTACTTTGACCTGTGACATCAGGCTGCTGAAGGTCAACGACACTCTGCCTTTTCCTCTTTTAGTGCAAGATAAGGACAACAGAGTTCAAGAGAGGAAAACACACCTTCAAAACCAAATGAGAAATGAAACAAAACTCACTGCTCACTGAAACACACCTTCAGAATAAAATAGTTTTAGATCAGACTGGAAAGAGGTTAAAGGGTTTAAACGAGAGTCTGAACTTACCTTAGAAGGAGGCGTCTGTCTGTCTGTCTGTCTGTCTGACCGTCTGACTGACTGTCTGGGAGGAAAGTGTCCTCTGCTCTGCTGCAGAGCTTTTATAGACTCCGACAGAGAGGCGGAAGAGGTTCAGGAGGAGGGGCCTGAGGGGGAGAAGCCGGAGAAAGAGGACCCTGGGGGAGGGGCTTGATGAGCCTGGGGGGAGGGGCTTGAGGAGCCTCAGGGAGGAGCCTGATGGGAAGAAGCCTGATGAGGAGGAAGGAGCTTGTTCACGGTCCTGTAGGCAAACTTTTATTTGATACTTAAAAAATATTCTTATTAATTAATCTTATTATTTTATCATGACTAATGTAGGATCAATACAATTCATATTAATAGAATATGACTGTTCTTATAATTCTAATTATTATCATTATTAATATCAATACTATTATTTCACCATTGTTAACATTTAAACTATTATTATTCTTATTATAATTAACATAATTGGTATTGTTATCATTATTAATATCATTGCAATTATTATTGTCATTATTAACATTGTTAATATAATTATCATTATTAACATATTGTTATTATCATTAACATACTTATGAATATAGTACAATAAGTATGCCACACACTAAGTTGAACACAAGTGGTCAAGTCAAAATATTTCTTCATCTTTTATGAATTAAAGGGTAATCAATTCTCCGGTATGACATTTGACTGCTGATTCAAAGTGTCTATTGTGTAGAAAATTAACCGTAAGAAGTAATGTAAGTAATAATTACAATACATTATGTCTTACTATTATTGTTATCATATGATGTCTTTGTAATTTTTATTTTATTTTTTTTATTTTAAAACTCAGAGCTAAAGGTCAAAGGTCAAATTTCCTCTAAAGGGAAAATATGAGACAAGGTCAGCAGAGGGCAGTAACAAACACACAAAGACACACAGACACACGCACACAAATGCTCACACACCCTAAGACATACATAAATACATAAACGCACAAACGCACGCACACACAAAAACACAAACGTATATACACACGCAGTACACACATATACACACACACACACACACTGAGTGCCCTGTAGCATTTCACTTTAGCTAAATATAACCGTGGGTGGGGGGTATGCTCTTATTTTAAAAACACACACACACACAGTATTTTTCAGAATACAACGTTTTATTTCCCCATGAAGGGTTGGACACATAGTAATAAATGTAACACTGCTCTTAAGTCAGATCTCAACTCAACCTTTAAACACTTTGTTATTCCCTGATGGGAGAATTGAAAAAAGAACTAAAATGAAGGAACTCTTGAGTTGTGTGTAGACGGGGGGGCGGAGCCTGGCGGAGCGGGCGTCCTAGTATCCGGCCTCTCTCAGGTATTTGACCACGTTGAACACGGGACCAGAGAGCTTGCTGCCGAGGCCCGATCCCACCACCACCACTAGAGCTGTGGAGAAAGACAGGGGTGAGACAGGTCCCCTCTCTACCCGTCTACCCGACCTTGGTTGGTCTAACCCTCGCAGACTGCTAGCCCCCCCCACTTGTCTCTCTAACTTTGTTGGTCTGGCACGAACACACTGCTATCTCCCCCCTTTGTCCCCCTACCTTGGTTGGACTGGCCCACACAGACTGCTATCTCCCCCCTTTGTCTCCCTACCTTGGTTGGTCTTTTCCACACAGACTGCTATCTCCCCCCTTTGTCTCCCTACCTTGGTTGGTCTTGCCCACACAGACTGCTATCTCCCCCCTTTGTCTCCCTACCTTGGTTGGTCTTTTCCACACAGACTGCTATCTCCCCCCTTTGTCTCCCTACCTTGGTTGGACTGGCCCACACAGACTGCTATCTCCCCCCTTTGTCTCCGTACCTTTGTTGGACTGGCCCACACACACTGCTAGCTTCCCGTCGCTGGCAGAGGTCTTCAGGTGCATGCAGAAGCTCTGTGTGTCTTGGCGCTCGTCCCGGAGCAGCATGCATTTCATGTTGGCGATCTTCGGGCCATTTATATTCATATCAGCTGAGCTACCAGCCAGGATCTTAATCTGCGGCGCCTGAGAGAGAGAGAGAGAGAGACGAGTCAGCCTCAGATGCATCAGACCAACAACGCTAACGGTGCTGATAGGGCCAACAGAGCTAACGGTGCTGATAGGGCCAACAACGCTAACGGTGCTGATAGGGCCAACAACGCTAACGGTGCTGATAGGACCAACAGAGCTAACGGTGCTGATAGGGCCAACAACGCTAACGGTGCTGAAAGAGCCAACAACGCTAACGGTGCTGATAGGGCCAACAACGCTAACGGTGCTGATAGAGCCAACAGAGCTAACGGTGCTGATAGCGCCAACAGAGCTAACGGTGCTGATAGGGCCAACAACGCTAACGGTGCTGATAGCGCCAACAACGCTAACGGTGCTGATAGCGCCAACAGAGCTAACGGTGCTGATAGAGCCAACAACGCTAACGGTGCTGATAGCGCCAACAGAGCTAACGGTGCTGATAGGGCCAAAAGAGCTAACGGTGCTGATAGAGCCAACAGAGCTAACGGTGCTGATAGGGCCAACAACGCTAACGGTGCTGATAGCGCCAACAGAGCTAACGGTGCTGATAGCGCCAACAGAGCTAACGGTGCTGATAGGGCCAACAACGCTAACGGTGCTGATAGAGCCAACAGAGCTAATGGTGCTGATAGAGCCAACAGAGCTAACGGTGCTGATAGGGCCAACAGAGCTAACGGTGCTGATAGAGCCAACAACGCTAACGGTGCTGATAGGGCCAACAGAGCTAACGGTGCTGATAGGGCCAACAACGCTAACGGTGCTGATAGAGCCAACAGAGCTAACGGTGCTGATAGGGCCAACAGAGCTAACGGTGCTGATAGGGCCAACAACGCTAACGGTGCTGATAGAGCCAACAGAGCTAACGGTGCTGATAGAGCCAACTTGTGAAGATAAAGTCTGTGTTTCACATGTCGGTCCCTGTGCTCTGAGCCTGAAGGCAGCACGCGTTGAGGAGCCGGAGCCTCTGGCTTCCTCCAATGAGGGCTCAAACTCCTCAAACTGGTTCCACTGTGTGATTCGCTGCAGAGAAACAGTCACCTGCAGAAATCAGCTGACTAAAGAGTCATTATTAATACCCATAAATAACTACAGTAGCCATGGATCCGTCAGCTGACCGATGAGTCACCAATAACACATTAACCAATCGTTCATTCATTCATTGATCAATAATTAATAATACTTGAGTATAATGCTAATAATACTAATTAGCTAATAATATTTATGTAATTGTAGTTCATGCAGCTGATAATACTTGTGTACTTATACTAAAAAAGGCCGATAACACTAACGTTCTTGTACTACATGAGGCTGATAATACTTTTGTACTTGTACTACATAAGGCTGATAATACTATTGATTGATCAGCAAGTTTCGACAAATTAGAACAAAGTTGAAGAAGGAATGTGAGAACGAGTCAAAACACGCTGCACACACAAATGTACACACATACACACACACTCACGCGGGCTCACACACATGCACACACACACATGCACACACACACATGCACGCACACTGAGGTGAGGGCGGAGACCCTCTGCTGCAGTTACTTAATGTATGCATTCCAGGTGTCTGTGTGTGTGTGTGTGCACGTGTGAGTTTTATATGAGTGTGTGTGTGTGTGTGTGTGTGTGTGTGTGTGTGACACAGAAACAAGAAGTGAGCGTCTCCACTTCCTGTCTCTGCCGCTCTTTTTCTGACATCATGTCCTTATAAGGATCTAAACTCTCCGCCTAAAGCCCCGAAAAACAAAGCGAGGCGCAAGAAAAAAACACTTCCGTTATCTTCTCGTCGCTCAGAACCCGACGAACGGATCCGTTAGAATCCGACTTTCAAGAAGACGTCGTCTCAAACTCAACGGCCAAAAAAAATATGAATCGTGTTGTTGAAGTAAAGAATAAACTAAAAGTGCAATTATGAACACCTTGTTTTTATACCTGTCAGTTAGAAAAATATTTTTAAAAAGCTGAAAAATGTGAAGACACAAGAATAAAAAGTTCCTATTGCAGGATTTTCAGAACGAAAGGACCAATAATCTAGATATTAAACTGAAATGAAATGAAAACCATCAAGCACACAAGAATCTCACCAACACGTTGTCGCCTCAATGACGGGACGAGGTGGTGCTAGATGAACATCTGATGGGAGAACCCAACGTCTCTCCCACAGGCTCCTGTGTGTGTGTGTGTGTGTGTGTGTGTGTGTGTGTTTACCGTCACGCCCGTCAGCCCGGGTGTGGAGGACCAAGTGCTGCCGTCCAGCCCGAAGATGCCGGCTTCTGTGACCGATTCCACGGCCGTCAGCTGGTCACGGTACGCGTCCCACGACATCCTGATGGACGACCCCCCCACACACACAGACACACACAGATGAGTGAGACTGACAGCGCCTGGAGGAGGAGATGGAGGAGCAGATGGAGGCGCTCACCTGTTGGCTGCTGGTCTCAGGTATGAGGAAGAGGAGAGAAGTGGAATGCAGGGGCAAGGAAGAGCGCTTGTGTTTTATAGTGCTGGTGGGAGGGACCTGCAGGCCGCTTCCTGCTGCACACCCGCCTGTCCGTCTCATCGAGGAAGTGAAGAACAAGGAAGTGTGTGCCGTCAACCGATGGAAGTCCTTCACATTTGATCACCTATCAGCACTTCATCAAATGTCTCTTCAGTAGGTCGGCACACATGTGACACTCCGTAACATGTTCCACTCTACACGCGTGTCACTGTGACGTGTGATGCTTGAACCTGGAGGAGGAAGAGAACAAGGTGAAGTGATTAAGGTTTAATCCTGACCCGCTAGGCATTCTGGGTAGTTCATCCATGGTGAGGATTGAAATGGCAGCTTGGAACGTGAAGTTCTTCAAGCCACTGAGGAAGTCTGCATGCTAACATGCTAACATGCTAACATCACATGTTGACCCGGGAGCAGTTAGAGGTCGTGTGTCTCGCTCAGGGACACTTCAGCGAGTCTGATGATGGCTCACGTTTCTGCACACGCTGCATACCTGAGTAACACGCACACGCACACACACGCACACACACATGCGCACACGCACACACACACACGCACACACACACACACACACACACACACCTGGAATACCTGGGCCAGTTGAGGCCTGAGGACCTTGAGAGCAGCGACGTGTTTCAGCTCGGCGGCAACATGTACTTCACAGTACAAATGCACAGTGTATACTTGTACTGCTAACACATCCACCAACAAGTACTTTAGTACCATATGCAAAGTACTAAATACTGGCAGCCATGAACACAGATTATGTTCTATGAAAAACATGTTAGAATAATATAATAAATGCATTTTATTTGTAACAGTAGTACTAGTAGTATTGACGGTAGTAATATTCACAGTAGTACGAGTAGGAGGCTCCGCGGAGAAAACACACACACACACACACACACACACACACACAGTTTGTTTGAATTAGTTTGAGCCGTTGAGCCATTAATGTTTGATGTCTACGCGTCGACTCACCACTTCACAATGATGAAGTGATGTTTCTTAGTGTGTCTTTGTTAGTCACTGATGGTACACAGACTAGTAGAAACTGCAGTACTAGCAATAGCAGTGGTAGTAGCAGCAGTTCCCTCTGCTTCGTGCTAAGCTAGGCTAAACATGTCCTGGCCTTGTGCGCGTGTCGCTCTGATGGAAGAGGAAGTGGTCTCCTCACTGCAGCGCGTGTCCTTATAAGGCAACGTGTCTCCGCCGATAAAGTGTTTGGTACACAGACCTCTGCTTCCTGTTCCACTTCTTCAAACCCAACCAGCAGCTCTAGATTTCACTTAACCCTCAAACACAACGAGTCCTTCAAAGCATTTCCCACGTGGTAAAATGTTCATACTTAACGGATTATTTAGGTATTAAATTCTTACCGTACGTCCATTAAAACAGTTTATCATTGTGTCTGTACATTTAATACTGGAATGTGTCTGACTCACATGTTGATCATCCAATCAGCTGCTGTTTCACTGACACGACCTCTTCAAATATGAAGCAAAGACGACGTCCGTTTGAATCCCGTTCCTGTTTCCTATCAAAGCAAACTGAACATTTTATATTATATATTTTTGTTCTTAAAGAAACTTCCTTGTTAGTCCTAAAACCCTGATAGTTCTTTTATTTTGGTAGTTCTGAACTTTCTGCAGAAGATGAAACGTGATGTAATGTTTAAAATCAGCGGACCAGCAGGTTGAGGAACAGCTTCGTCCCTGCGGCCGTCACTCTACTGAACCCTGCCCCCCCCTCAGTGACTGTACTCCCCCCTCCTCCCTGGCTCGACTGCCACACCCTCCTCCAGCCACTGAACATTTGCACTGTTATTGTACATCCATTTCTTACTGTTCATGTCCATTTATTCACTTATTACACTTTACATAAGCACGTACTCTGGTTGGATGTTAAACTGCATTTCGTTGCCTCAGTACTTGTACCCTGTGCAATGACAATATAGTTGAATCTAATCTAAAAAAAAAAAAATAGTCACATGGGGGAAAAAAAAGTGGAAACACTTTATATAATTTCAAGTAGTATTTTGAGGAAAAGTTTCATGACTTCAAGATTTGTTTTATAGCAGAAAGGATAATCCTAATATTTTGGAAATATAGTTGTATTATAAAATAACAATAAACAGTTTAAGCACAGATTATATTAAGTTATTTAGGATCAAACGTTCAAGATTTAAATCATATCATAAAGTAAAGTGTCATTTTCAGGATCAAAAATACTAAAATAACAAAAGTGAGGTTCACACTGTTTATTTGTCCATTTATGTCTGTACGTAACCATGGTTACCCACCAACCCCATGGAGACACATTATTATTAGTTCTATGACATGGGGAAGGATGTTTGGTTCTACCGTCGTTCCTCTACAGAAGAACTTAACAGAGCGCGTGAAGTCGTACAGGAACAATCGTAGTGGAAAGGAAACCCCACAAAGACAGTACAAGGACGAGTGCGTGTCTTAGAGGGACAGTCCACCAGTGGGACTGCAGTCCCGTGTCTGTGTGCGTTAGCCGTCCAGGACTCGGGTCTTGTAGAAGCGGTTCATCTGCTCCAGGAAGATGAAGGTGAGGACGGTGTGGGGGCCGAGGCGAGCGTAGTACGGAGTGAAGCCTTTCCACAGAGAGAAGAACCCCTCGTTTCTCACCACCCGCATCAACACCTCCTGATGGGCAGGAAACATTTCAAAATAAAGCTCATTTTCTGTCCCTCAGACGTTGCGATTGAATATAGTTGTGAAGACTCACCATTCCGTTTTTATACTCAGGTTTCCCGTCAATCATTTTCATGTTCTGGATCCTACGGGCAAACACAGAAGATAAGTATCAGGTCTCACCTGGTCTCCACAAGTCAGTCTGAGGTCCCACCTGGTGTCTACAAGTCAGTCTGAGGTCTCACCTGGTCTCCACAAGTCAGTCTGAGGTCCCACCTGGTCTCCACAACTCAGTCTGAGGTCCCACCTGGTGTCTACAAGTCAGTCTGAGGTCTCACCTGGTCTCTACAAGTCAGTCTGAGGTCCCACCTGGTCTCTACAAGTCAGTCTGAGGTCTCACCTGGTCTCTACACGTCAGTCTGAGGTCTCACCTGGTCTCTACACGTCAGTCTGAGGTCTCACCTGGTGTCTACAAGTCAGTCTGAGGTCTCACCTGGTCTCTACAAGTCAGTCTGAGGTCTCACCTGGTCTCTACAAGTCAGTCTGAGGTCCCACCTGGTCTCTACAAGTCAGTCTGAGGTCTCACCTGGTCTCTACAAGTCAGTCTGAGGTCTCACCTGGTCTCTACAAGTCAGTCTGAGGTCTCACCTGGTCTCTACAAGTCAGTCTGAGGTCTCACCTGGTGTCTACAAGTCAGTCTGAGGTCTCACCTGGTCTCTACAAGTCAGTCTGAGGTCTCACCTGGTCTCTACAAGTCAGTCTGAGGTCTCACCTGGTCTCTACAAGTCAGTCTGAGGTCTCACCTGGTCTCTACAAGTCAGTCTGAGGTCTCACCTGGTCTCTACAAGTCAGTCTGAGGTCTCACCTGGTCTTTACGATGTCCACAGGCATCGATGCTGCCGTGGTAACCAGACCACTGATCATACTCGCACAGAAGTGACACAGAATATCATCCCCAAAATACCCTGAAAACACAAAAGTACAAGTTACGGAGTTTAGTATATTTACATTTACTGTATTTGTGTGTATTTACGGTGTTTATTGTGTATTTGTACCTGAGTCCAGCAGAGCCTGCTTTGTTTGAGAGTACGAGGCCAGTTGAGCGGCGTTTACTACCACAGCCCGAGCCATGGTGGGAACACAACCCTACACACACACACATTACTAAAGGTATGCTTAACACAACAGTACACACTAGGGTCAATCAGGAGGACTATATCGACACACGCTTTGCTTCGTATAACTCACAATTAATACGGTAATGGATTATGAATCAGGTGTCACCCTCCAACAATGATGGTGACACCTTCTTCTCTGGTGATCCTGGCCAGAGCGTTAAAAACATTACTGTAACCTCTCCTCTGGTCTGCAGGGAGACTGGAGAGACAGACAGACAGACAGACAGGGGGAAGGACAGAGAGACAGACAGACGGGGGGAAGGACAGAGAGACAGACAGGGAGATTATTATTCAGTGTAAAGCTACAGATCATCTTCAGATCTGGGTTTGTGTTGTTATGTGATCAAACCCAAAATATGTGTGTTTGTCTCACCGTCCGTCTGCCGTCATCCTGATCAGAGCGACCTCTGCTGGTGTCCCCACAAACGCTCCGGTGGCTCCGGCCGTCATCCCGATAAGAGCCTGGGGGCGGAGCCTCTGAGTTAGTCTGAGTGAAAGCAGTGGAAGTGGCGGCCGGAGGCTCCGCCCTGAAAACTCTCATCGCTCTGGTACCTTGAGGAGGAAGTTGGGGGGCCGTCCATCAGCACCGGTCATCTTCTCAAACAGGATGGTGTAGATTCCCAGGCGGGTGGTGGTGTAGGTCGCCTGACGTAGTAAACCTGCTGAGAGCCTGACGGAGACGTGAGCTTATTATCAATAACTACGTACATGAGGTGGTGCATGAAGATGAACCTAGTACATGAAGGTGGTGCATGAAGGCGGTGCATGAAGATGAACCTAGTACATGAAGGTGGTGCATGAGGTAGTACATGAAGGCGGTGCATGATTCCCAGGCGGGTGGTGGTGTAGGTCGCCTGACGTAGTAAACCTGCTGAGAGCCTGACGAAGACGTGAGCTTATTATCAATAACTACGTACATGAGGTGGTGCATGAAGATGAACCTAGTACATGAAGGTGGTGCATGAGGTAGCACATGAAGGTGGTGCATGAAGATGAACCTAGTACACGAAGGTGGTGCATGAGGTAGTACACGAAGGCGGTGCATGAAGATGAAGCTAGTACACGAAGGCGGTGCATGAAGATGAAGCTAGTACACGAAGGCGGTGCATGAAGATGAAGCTAGTACACGAAGGCGGTGCATGAAGATGAAGCTAGTACACGAAGGCGGTGCATGAAGATGAAGCTAGTACACGAAGGCGGTGCATGAAGATGAAGCTAGTACATGAAGGTGCTGCTAGTACATGAAGGTGGTGCATGAAGATGAAGCTAGTACATGAAGCTAGAGCATGAAGGTGGTGCATGAAGACGGTGCATGAAGATGAACCTAGTACATGAAGGTGGTGCATGAAGGCGGTGCATGAAGATGAAGCTAGTAAATGAAGGCGGTGCATGAAGATGAAGCTAGTACACGAAGGCGGTGCATGAAGATGAAGCTAGTACACGAAGGCGGTGCATGAAGATGAAGCTAGTACATGAAGGTGGTGCATGAAGATGAACCTAGTACATGAAGCTAGAGCATGAAGGTGGTGCATGAAGGCGGTGCATGAAGATGAACCTAGTACATGAAGGTGGTGCATGAAGGCGGTGCATGAAGATGAAGCTAGTAAATGAAGGCGGTGCATGAAGATGAAGCTAGTAAATGAAGGCGGTGCATGAAGATGAAGCTAGTACATGAAGGCGGTGCATGAAGATGAACATAGTACATGAAGGTGGTGCATGAAGATGAACATAGTACGTGAAGGTGGTGCATGATCCTAGTACAGAAACCAGTGCATGAACGTAGTGCATGAAGGTAGTACCCGGTGTAGATCCCCCCACCCCTTCATTCCTCAAGGATGAAGACCAAGGGTGGAAGCTGGTCTTGTATTACCGAAGCCGTTCGTTCCCTTGGCCGTTCAGCCTGCATCCGGGTTCTTCACCAGGTCCAAGAGGCTGGACGAAGACTGTGGCCCCCATCCCTGCACCCAGACACGGGAGAGGGGACAGACAGGTAGAGTCGGCGGGACGACAGATACAGTCAGACAGGTCTGTGTGCGGAGGATCACGTGAATTGATCCTCATGTTTATAAACAGCAGCAGCTGTCCTTCACACTCTAAAGGTCAAAGGTCGTTGACATTTAAAGGACACGACTAAGCGTCTCCGTCGTGTTCTCACAAACAGTTCAACATCTGATATAAGTTGTACTCTGTACTGTACAACACATCAGAGGTACATGTAGTACTTTCAACTACACCTCAGAGGTACATGTAGTAATTTATTCTACACCTCAAGGTAGTACTTTATACTACAGCCCAGAGGTACATGTAGTACTTTATACTACAGCTCAGAGGTGTAGTGCATTTTATCACAACGTATGATGATCTTATCTATCTCGCTGTAGATCAAACTAAACCGGTTACGAAGGAGTTGTAATAATGATAAAACACACATTGAAGCACCAGGAATTTGAATCCAGAACTTTCTCCAATTCTCTAAAACTTTTAGTGAGCCAGAGGATATGACATCATAGTTTACGTCACGGTCAATGAACTAACTGTAATAAGAGGAGGAACGAATCTACAGGGGTACGGAGTTTGACGTGACACCAGAATTGCCCTGCTAGCTCTCCAGTTAGCATGTTGTTAGCTTCTCTGACTGCTAACTGACATTAGCTCATTAGCATGTGAGCTAGCAGCGGTGCCTACCCGGCCAAGCCCCCGAACAGGAACTTGATGGCCTTCGGAGAGGTCTTCGGCTTAGCCTCCGCCATGTTCGAGTAGCCGGTTAGATTCCCGTAGCGTTGTCTGCCTGTGTGCCTCTGAGCCGGACGGGACCTCCTGATCTCTAGCCGTGTCAGCAGCGAGCAGCAGCCGGAGCAAGGTGACTCTCTGCAGCGGGGAGGCTCGGAGACAAGCAGCGGACCAATCAGGATGCGAGCACGGAGATGCACGAACTGCCGCGACTCTTGTGCTGCCTCCAGGCTCCCCGCAATTGCGCGTTTATCTTAAAACTCATTTGTAACGCAAAGATTAAAGATATTTATTGTCATGTGTACAGGTAATTATACATATTCTAGGGGCACTACATATCCATGAGTAGTAGTTTCCTTTATATATCTATGTATTGCGGATTACTACTGTCAACACTTGATGACGTCGTTGCCTTTTGTAATTCCACCAATTTTAAATAAAGTTATTTAATTAAGTCCCATGATGCATAGCGCGGTCTGTTGCCAGGATACAGCTCTCTGTAGCTACCGGAAAGAGGGAGATAAACAAAGTGACCTCGGGTGGTTAGAAGAAGGTTTGTTGTTAGCCTTTAATGCTAGGCGGTTAGTCAAACCGGTGGATGAACGGGTAGAACCGGTACTTGGTTTGGCCGCTAGTCCGTTAGCGTCTTATGGAACGAGCTGACCGGGGGAGAGACTCCCGTCTAGTGAAGAACCAACCGTACGACGAGAGCCTGGAGGTCCTCGACCCGGAGGAGGTACCGAGCGTCCACAGCCCGACTCAGGTAACAAGATCCGGTATTAGACGGTAACAAGAACCGGTTATTTTCGGTGATGATGAAGGCGATTTTTGTCTTACAGACCGAGGCCAGGAGGAGGAGGCGTGGCCTGATGTCGACCAACAGTGACGAGATTGACGTGGACGGTGCGCCCCAGAGAGCAAACGAGCCGACGGGACGGCAGCCTGTCAGTCCAAATGAGGAGGAGGAGGAGGAGGACGAAGATGAAGAAGAGGATGACTCTGATGAAGAGGACTCTGACGATGACGAGGAACCTGGTGAGGCTCCTGAGGGGGTCTACGACCCGGCGGACTACGCCAATCTGCCAGTCAGCTCCGAGATCAAAGAGCTGTTCCAGTACATCACTCGGTGAGACACTCAAAGTCATCTTCATCTTCATCAGCATCAACATCTTCATCAGTCTGTTTTCCCGACGTCAGGAAGTCATCCGGTTTATTTGACCTCTGTAGAAGTTGAAATGAAAAAGGCCTATTACCACACTACCCACGATGCACCAGTAACAACTGTATGACGCGTCCCCTCAGCTACAGCCCTCAGACCGTGGAGCTGGATCACAGCCTGAAGCCCTTCATCCCGGACTTCATCCCAGCCGTGGGCGACATCGACGCCTTCCTCAAGGTACAAACTGGAAGTGACATCACATCACCAGCAAGTGGACCAATCAGGAGCTGGTCGAAGAAAAACGATTTTATCTGTTGGTGAATAAAGTTTCATTTGTCTGCGCAACCTCTGTCCCCTGTGACACGTGTGGCGTTCAGGTGCCGAGGCCAGATGGGAAAGCAGACGGTCTGGGTCTCCTGATTCTGGACGAGCCCAGCGTGAAGCAGTCCGACCCAACGGTGATGTCACTGTGGATGTCAGAGGAGAGCAAGCAGCACGGAGCCACTGAGGTACACAACCTGTCTGTCTGTACCTGTCTCTCTCTGTCCCCTCCTGTCTCACCGCGCCCCCCTCCCCTCTCGGTGTGTGCTGCAGCTGAAGAAGGTGACGAGCGTCCCCAGCCCTCAGACTAACCCTCGTGCGGTGGACAGCTGGGTGAACAGCATCAGTGCCCTGCACCGCTGCAAGCCCCCGGCCAGCGTGCAGTACGTGCGTTTGATGCCGGACATCGACAGCCCTGATGCAGGAGTGGCCCTCGGGAGCTAGAGGAGCTGCTGGGACGCCTGCAGCTGCCGCCGGCGCGGCTCCAGTGCAGCACGGCCGAGTACGCTGAGGCCGTGTGCGCCATGCTGGACATCCCCGTGTACGGCAGCCGGGTCCAGTCTCTGCACCTCCTGTTCAGCCTGTACCTGGAGTTCAGGGACTCCCAGCACTTCACACGTAGAGAGTAGACATGTGTATACACGTGTGTGTATGTGTATATATACATTTATTTTACATATATTTTATATATATATATATAAAATATGTATATACATATGTGTGTGTGTGTGTATATATATATATAGTATATATATATATAGTATATACATATATAATTATTGTATCCAATAAATGTTTTATTTTGCTTTCTATTATTTCATATTAAAACTGTGAATACAATGAATAATTAAATTGTTTAAAAAAACAAGCGCCTTCGTCTCTTTTTCCCACAATGCACCGCACTGTTTTTGTTTTGGCTGCCTGTCCAACATGGCGGCTCCAGACTGCGTCTTCTACAGAACCCTGTGCCGCTCCAGACCCGGACCGAACAAGGTGTGGACAGCACGGCGTCATGTGTTATTGATCATTATGATTATCGATCAGGTCGTTTGAACTTCCGGTCTGCTTCTTTTCGCGCGGTTCAAAGAATCTACCAGACTACGTTCAAATATATTCGGTTTGCTTCTTAAAACAAATGACCATGTAACTGCATTAAAGGATTATATCTGCATTATTAATATCAATAACAATATCCGTTTTCTGAATAAGACGAATGCTTTAATTGTAGCAATAAAACGCTCCCGTACGTGTAGAATACAAGTGCGCAACGTGTGTTTTTTGCTTGTCCGCAATGAACGGATTGTAGAAGCAGCTTCATCAACAAATACAAGTTTATTAAATAAAATGATGTAATAAATATGTTATGTTTGTATTGTGGCTGACTGCACGTCACCGGTTCCTATGCTAAAGGAGCATTTAGCATTCCTATGCTAAAGTAAGGAAGCATTGAAGCTCCTTTCCTTCATTAGCGAATAGAACAGCTCTTATCATACTTCACTTCACTCAGTGAGGAACATTTGGACAATTTGAAAGTGTAACTTTCTGCTTCTGCTCTTTTACATTAGCTACCTGACATTGGACACCACTTTTTCTAATTACAGTCTTTTATTTTGTCTCTCAGTGGTCTTCTCCTGCCATCTGCAGGGAGGTCCTCTATGTGGTGGAATTGCAGCGCTACAGCAGAGACCAGGGCTCCTCTGTCTACTTCCCCCAGGCTGTCCTCAATGGTTAGAGATGGGAGGACAAGAGGGGACAAGACAGACGAGACAAACAAGACATGACTGACAAGACAAGGCGGGCCCAGGAAATATGAAAAAATGCTCCACTTGTCTCCTTTACTTTTGGACTTAGACCATGTTCCTCTGTGGTGGTCTACTGGTCTCACTGTTTGTGTTGCTGGTTTGGTGTCCTCAGGTGATGACCTCTATGACGCCACGTTGACAGACGGCCATTGCCGGCTCCGTGTGACTCTGGATCCTGGTCTGAACCCGCTGGTGGAGAGGTACGTCCTGAGGTCCGGATCGGCGCTTTGTGACGCTGCCTTCACGCCCGCAATGACCGCTCAGCTCCCAGCATGCCCCATGGCGCCCGCGGACAGAGACAGGTAAGCCAGGACAGGTGAGCTGAGCTGTAGCAACGTGACGGATGTGGTCTAATGGTTCTGTCCTGCAGCTACAAACTGCTGAGTGTGGAGGTCTCAGGTGGAGCTCCTGGTGAGGATGGAGGACTCAGGAGGTTCCATGTGGACTCTCTGTCCTGGTTTGGGTCCTCGGGACCAGCAGGTGAGTTGAATGATGTCAGTGATTCAGGGGACATACTGAGAATCAACCCAAAGAAACTAATTACAGTATGTTAGGGCAAAATTGTGCTGTACCTTCAAAGAACTACAGTTCCCATGATGCCTTTGGGGATGTAAACAGAATGTCCAGCAGGCTTTGTTGACCAGTTGTGTCTCTGTTTGTCTTCCTGTTGTTGTGACATCAAGTGGCCCCTCCCACTCCCATCTAGTGATGACTGTGATTGGTTAACTGATCCCGCAGGTGCTCTGGTTCCCCTGAGAGCCAATAGGAGCGTGTTCCTCCCTCTGTGGAACAATGTGGACTACAGCGGGGAGGCGTGGAGGGAAGCTCCTCCTGCTGAGGAAGAGGAGGAGGAGGAAGATAGTGGTATTGTTGAGGTTTTGACATTCAATTAGTTCAAGTTTATTCATTTTTGTAAAAAACTGTATTATATAAAAACAGCTGTTTATTATAAAACATAACACAACTTAATGTTTCTACAGTGAATACATGTTTAAATTGCCTGTTCAATTACCAACATTAAGAAAAAAACAACTCAAACTGATTTTAAAATGTCATTAATACAAATTAAATATTTAATTGATAAAGAGTGTGTGTGATCACAGAGCGACGCCCCACTGTGACCGTGTCAGAGCTGAGGGACTCGTTCCTGATTGGCCACGGGGGCGTTGCCAGGGGCGTCGTCCACCACCAGCTGATAGTTCGCATCATCAACAAATCACACCTGATGTACTACGGGAGGAAGGACCTGAACTGTGAATGTCCATATAAGGTCAGTCAAGTGTGTGTCAAACAAATATTTGTACTGCAGCATTTTGAAAACACTTAATGAATAAACTTAATCTAGCTGAATATTCAAATGTTAACAGCATCTGTAGCTTCCTCTTCCACCAAGTGGCCCGCGGAGCGTCCTTTCTGAGTTCTGTAGAATTTTTGAGTAAAGACAAACATGTGGGCGGACTCTTACTCTCTTCATAAGGAACCTCAGAGGACCGGAGATGGAACCCTGAGGAGCACCTCCGGATCACAACTAACCTCGCCGCCTCTCTGTGTGCAGGCCGTGCTGGAGGTGTGCGACCGGACAGGAAGTGTGTCCGTGGTGTTATGGAACAGCGTGTGCCTCGGCTGGTATCGCCGCTTGAAGCCTGGTGACATCATCAAACTGAGACGCTATCGAGTCAAACGGCGTTTCCAGGCGCAGCAGGACGACATAGGTACAGGTTTCATGTGTGATTGATGAGCACAGCTGAGGGTCCACCATGACCTCACTCTGTGACCTCACCATGACCTCACCATGACCTCACTCTGTGACCTCAGTGAGGTCATGGCTCACTCAGCACTTTCTGTTCTCCCCAGAGATCAGTGTGAACAGCAGGAATCCTTCTGCCCTCATCTCTGTCCTCCCAGAATCCTCTGCTTCCCCTCAGCATCTCCCACCTGCAACCTCCTACAGCTTCTGCAACAGGTACACACGCATGCACGCACGCACACACACACACACACACACACACACACAAACTCACTGTGACTGTCTCTCTGTCAGCAAGCAGCTCCTGGACCGTCCTCACGGCGTCGTGTGTGATGTCATTGGCCTGCTGACCTTCTCGGGACGCCCCGAGCGGATCAGGAGCGGTGAGCGTTGCCGTGGCGGCCAGGATCACACTGTACGGATGTTGTCATGCTTTAGTGACACGTTGTTCTCATCGGTAGATGGAGGGGCGGCTCTGTTGGAGTATCACTGGCTGCGATTGGAGGACGGCAGCAGCAACCAGCCAATCATGGTGAAGCTCTTCTCTACGTCTCAACCCGAAATCCACCACAAGCTCCACCCACGTGAGAGACCCCCCCCCCACACACACGCACACACTGATATACAATTCAATGAAATTCACTTTGTACAGCCCAACGCATCTGCCTGTCTCTCTCTCTGGTTGCCTGTCTCTCTCTCTCTCTCTCTCTCTCGTTGCCTGTCTCTCTCTCTCTTGTTGTCTCTCTCTCTCTCTGGTTGCCTGTCTCTCTCTCTCTGGTTGCCTGTCTCTCTCTCTGGTTGCCTGTCTCTCTCTCTCTCTCTCTCTGGTTGCCTGTCTCTCTCTCTCTCTCTCTCTGGTTGCCTGTCTCTCTCTCTCGGTGCCTGTCTCTCTCTCTCTCGTTGCCTGTCTCTCTCTCTCTCTCTCGTTGCCTGTCTCTCTCTCTCTCGTTGCCTGTCTCTCTCTCTCGTTGCCTGTCTCTCTCTCTCGTTGCCTGTCTCTCTCTCTCTGGTTGCCTGTCTCTCTCTCTCTGGTTGCCTGTCTCTCTCTCATGTGTCTCCAGTCTCCGTGGTAGTTTGTACCAGACTGAAGTTGAACAGAGGTGCTGATGGGAGCAACGTTGTCTTCTACCTGACCAACACCACGTACACACAGGTGTACTGCACAGGTACCCACTGTGTACACAGGTGTCCGTGTTCATCTTGTCTGCCGTCACCTCTTTGGTTTGTCACCTGACTTTTATTACATGTCAGTTACTCCACGTTTTTATCCCAAGCGACTTGCAACACGTGTAAATAGGCCGATTCACAGTGTAGGTGCTACGGTGAGTTAGTGGAGGTAGGGTGGAGGTGTGGGAGGCCACAGATGGACCCCAGTGGTGCTCAAGCAACTGCCCTTTGCCCTGGATGAGAAAAGTGCCCCTTCTCTCTCATCAATTCCCCGTGTTTTAATAGCTGACTGGCATTTATTGTGAGAATGTCGCCCCGACATGCGTTCACAAGCCCCGCCCCCTCCTCGTCCTCGTCCTCGTGCAGTGCGGAGCATAGAGATATATATATATATATATATATATATATATATATGAGGTGAGGAGGTGGACCGGGCGGGATCGACGTCTCTCCTCTCTCCTCATTGGCCAATACGCAGGAATGCGCCACCACTCACAGATGAGTTACCGTAAGCTGCGGCCGGTGAGACAGTTCCTCCAATGGCTGCGGAACCAGGATGACAGACAGGTGCTGAGCAGGGCTCTGATTGGAGGATTCTTCATCTACCCGTCTCCTCCCGTCTCATTGGAAATGTACATGAGAGACAGGAGAGGTACGTTGAGAAGCTACTGCTTATTTATTTACTAGAAGGGAGCTCTCCCTTTAAGTGTGTGTGTGTGTGTGCGTGTGTGTGTGTGTGTGTGTGCGTGTGTGTGTGTGTGTGTACGTGTGTGTGCGTGTGTGTGTGTGTGTGTACCTGTGTGCGCATACAGGCGTACCAGGGTTCCTGCGAGGTGCGGAGCTTCACAGGGAGCTGGAGAGGCTCCGTTACCGGGAGCGACGAACCTTCTGTATGCAGGCAGCCGTTACCATGGTGACGTACAGCCGCAGAGGAGCGGTCAGTGATGTACTTCCTGTCTCACGTAGATCCGGTCTTACATACTTCCTGCCTCATGTACTTCCTCACCCGTACGTTCTGTCTCTCTTAGGAGGAGCGCTGTTTGTGTTGGAGGGACCAAGCTTCCTCCCTCTTCTCCTCATCCTCCCCTTTTGCGTCTCCATCCCCCTCCTCCCCCACTACACCTCGTTCCGTCAGAAGTCCTCCCTCCTCCTCCTCCCCCTCCTTGTCTCCTACGTCTCTGTGTTCGACCTCCACTCCTGTGGACCACAGATCAGGGTGAGACGTGAGAACTCTTCTCAGAGGTTCTGTATCCAGGCAGTCGTTACCATGGTGACATCTGGACTGACGGTCCCACTGTGTCTCAGCAGGACGTCCAGGAAGAGGAGGTTCACCGAGACGCTTCCACACAAGAGGTGGATACACCCTAGAGTACACCTTCAAAATACTACACTTCATGATTCTACGTTTTACTTCCTCTCAGAGGTAGATTATGTACTTATACTGCAGTAAAGGCTCTGAGTACTACATGTCGTCTCTCTCTTCAGACGACCGTTTGTCACATTGCAATCAGAACACAACAAGTCAGGTACGTTTTACATTGTTCTAAATATATATATATATATATGTTTGAAACCTAACCCTAAATATATATGTATATACATATATATATTATATGAAATAAATAAAATCAGGGTGCTGAAATTAGCCCCGCCCCCCTAAGAAAGTCTGAAAGTTTTTGTTGCCCACGGCAGTTCCGCCCCGACACGTGCAGCCGCCCCCCACTGTGCGTTCAGCAGTAACGTGCCAATATGCCTAATGAAAGTAGTACTAGTTATTAGTAAATACAAAGGATCTTCTGCAGTCATCCTGTTTGAAGCCTCCATGGAGTTCCTAGAAAGCACAAACGCTGATGAAGACGATAAAGAAGATGAAGATGGAGACACTTCGTCCTTCGTCACCGCCCCCCTCCCCCCCGATCAACCCCCCATTGCCTTGGAGACGCTGCCGCTGCGTTACGACCACGCCCACAGGGAGGAGCACGCGGTTGCCATGGCGATGGGAGGGGCGTTAAGTGGGAGGTTTGACTCCGTCCTTGATGAGTACTACACGCTGAGACTTAGAGGTACTTGTACTGCTTTCATTTGGTTTGTAGTACGACAGAAGTACACATTGTAAGACAGGTGTGTGTAGTACACCTGTACTATACATGTAGTTGAATGTAGTACTCATATAGTCATTTGTAGTACACATGTATTTACATTTTTAATACATGTACTACACGTACACATGCAGTACGTGTTATTATAATAACAAATGTACTAATATGTGATGCTCACACTTACATCACAACGTATTTATGTTCTTTCAGCTCTCTCAGACGGCGTGTTGGTCGACACCCTCTTCCTCCCCCTCTCCTCTTCCTCCCCCTCTCCTCCGCTCCTCGCTCACGCCAACACCTGGACCTCCATCTTATCCCATGGATCCTTCTGCCCTCACACGCCTCCACCATCCCCAGGTCAGTGCGCGCGCACACACACACACACACACACACACACACCACGTCGTGTTTGAAGGTGACGGTTTCCTGTTCTCTGTCTCAGCCGACCTCATCAGCGCGGCGACACAGCTGGCCAATCAGAGGCTGGTGTGTGTGCTGGAGGCGTGTCATCTGGGTGGAGCCACAACGGAACTTGTCCTGAGCCGAGCGTTTCCCCTCAATCACTGACACACACACACTCAGTGAAAGACTCACACGCACACACACACACACACACACACACACACACACACACACACACAGTGAAAGACTCACACGCGCACACACACACACACACACACACACTCAGTGAAAGACTCACACGCACACACACACACACTCAGTGAAAGACTCACACACACACACACACACACACACTCAGTGAAAGACTCACACACACACAACACTGTAGTACTTCTGAAGGTATTTTAGATACATCTTCAGGTTGTTGTACTTTGTAGTACTTCTGAAGGTATTTTAGATACATCTTCAGGTTGTTGTACTTTGTAGTACTTCTGAAGGTATTTTAGATACATCTTCAGGTTGTTGTACTTTGTAGTACTTCTGAAGGTATTTGAGATACATCTTCAGGTTGTTGTACTTTGTAGTTCTTTGACTCCATAATAAACTGCAAGAATTGAATTTAAAGTAGCCGGTTATGTTTGTATTATTATAAGTAATGATGAAAACAAGAAAATAATAAAAAATATAACTAGTGTGAAGTAGTAAGTTAGTTCTGTTAAGTACTCCCAAATAACTTAAATTCACCAATATATAGATTAAACACAAACATCTCCTCTTGCGTTCATTTATGTACTTTAATCAACCAAATATTACGTGTTTATGTTTTATACAAAGAATAAAACTGTTTTGTTTGAATTCATGTAAATAATTTAGATTATTCTTATATATTTAATAATTTATATTAGTTATAAATGTATATTCATGTTGTTAACTCATATTTGGATCCGATGTTTCATTGAAGGATTTTGTCTCAGTTGAATGTGATCTTAAAATAACATTTCAGTGTCATAAAGATATATTGTGTTTGACGAAGAGAAAAACTCTTCTTTGTTTTCTAAACTCACATTATAATGTCTTCAATTCTCATTTTCACATTTTTAATCTGCTGTTTTGCCATTTTCAATATTTTAACAACCAAACTTTTTGGGATTTGTCGTACTTCCTGTCTTTGTCTCATTGGTTCCTACCGAAGACGTCAATCTTAAAAAAACACTAACATGTGGTTTTGCTTTTGTATTTTTGATTAAACTAACAGGAATTAGTGACTTTGTTGAGGACTACTTTCATTGGCGGGTGAATCCGTATTTGAATGTTAGTCATAATGAACCCCAGTGTGATGAAGACGCAGAACAACAGTCAGGCTCATTGAGTTTAATTGACTTCAGGTGTATATATTTCTACATATAGATGTACATATATACGTGGACGTATGCATATATACGTCTGTGTCTATGTGTATACTAGTAGCGGACTGATTCTCTGATCTGAAGTTAGTGAGTTCCCTTTGCTCTGGAGGTTGTGATCGGCCAGACGGCGTGATGTCATTGGCTGGCCGATCCAATCAGCAGACGGTATCTAGAGGGTGTGGGTGGAGCCTCTCAGCTGTGCCTCTGGCAGATGAAGCGTAGCCTGGAAGAGCAGTGCAGGTCGTTGAGGCGTCCGTTGCTCAGGAGGTGGGCGCAGTCCTCGTTACCTATACCCAGGTTGTGCTCCGTCCAGCTGTCCGGCTGACCGGGAGACCAGTGCCTGGGGACCGGCACCAGCACACCAGTCAGAGGTCTTTATGTGAACAAACCTGTGTAAAACACGACCAGGTACAGGACCTAGGCAGTACACTACCTACAACTGTTACTGTACCTAGGCCAGTCATACTTAGACCAGGTACGTAGCTAGACCGGGGCTGTACCTGACTAGATACTTTACCTGGATCAGGTAAGAACCTAGACAGCATACCAAGACCAGGTACACTAACCAGGATTGGGTAGTACCTAGACTAGATACTATACTGGCCGGGACTATACTTTGTCTAGACTAGTAACAAATCTGGACCATGTATAGTTCTAGACAGGTACAGACTAGACTAGGTAAAGACACAGCCAGATAAAGTACCTAGACTGGTATGACTAGACAGCACGTATCTAGACCGTCTGACCAAAGCTTGAAGATTAATCCAAAGGGCCAAACCTCCGATTCATGATGTAGGGCGTCTGGTTGACCCACTCCCACGTCCCCGTCCTCCCATCAGTCAGACCGACCCAGTAGAAGACCCCCGAGGCACGCGGTCTGACGAAGTCCTGAACCAGAGAGACAGACAGACAGTGGGATTAATTTAGGAAAAAAGGAGTCCCACAGGAATTGACTGTGGGTCCTCTGCTGTTTACTCCAAGAATGGATCATATTGGTCTTCAAGAGACCAATAGAGGCAGGCAGGCAGACAGACAGACAGACAGAAAGGCTGTCTCACCCACTCGTCGTCGTGGATGAGGATGATCAGGTGGGATTCGTGTCCGTTGCACCAGTCGCTAGCGCCATTCCAGGATAACATTGTCTTGCTGAAAAAATAACAGCTGGAACCAAAACGTTCCCAATCAATGGGACAACAGCCGCCAGTCGCCGAACCTGAGAGACAGACAGACAGATGGACTGTTACACGTGTGTGTACAGACGACTCTATGAGGAACAATATCACATGTGGACTCCAGAAAGAAGACATTTCTGGTAAAGTTGAGATGGGATTATGGTTTAGAGAAAAGAGAGGTGTGTGTGTCTCCTGTGTGTCAGGAATCAGGAAACATTTATGTGTGTGTGTGTGTATATGTGTATGTGTGTGCGCGCGTTACTGTTGTTGATGACGCGTTCGAGGGAACACTTGAGTGCAGCGACCGTCCGGCTGATGGAGTCCAGAGTTGAGAGCTGCTTCAATGCCTCGCCCACTGAAGACACAGACAGACAGACAGACAGACAGAGAGAATGAGCTTCAGGGTTCTTCAGTTTGTGATTTAAGGAGCTTCTGACAGACCTGAAGTCAGCTGGTCTGTGTTACTCTCCACAGCAAACTTGAGGAGGGGAATGTCTTTGGCCGCATCTGGGACAAGAAGCACAGGGGCAGATCAAATGAGCAGATGTAAGTTCTGGAGGGGCGGGGTCTCAGAGACACAGGTTCGTTACCTGTGGTGAGATTTAAGAAGGGGACCAGTGACTCGGTGAGTGAGGACACAGATCGTTAAACAGACCACAACCAGCTTGGACGTTCCGGGCGCCTGACACGGAGACGGGAACTTTAAATGGTTAACAGAAGTGTGCTAAAAATGTTTGCCCATATATACCATTGTACTTTAGCGCGTACACATGCTAACATTAGCTTTATAATCAATAAACTATATTTGGTGACAGGTCAAGTCATTGAATACGTGATTGTTCTGATGATCTCTCCTCTTTTTCTGCTTCTATCTCTGCTGCCAAAAGCTCTTTCTACCAATCCAGAATTGGATCTTCATTTTCTAACCCCAAAAAACTCTTTTCGATCTTCTCCAATCTCCTCGAACCCCCTAGTCCTCCTCCCCCCTCCACCCTTCTTCCGGGTGACTTTGTCAACTACGTTACCAAGAAAATAGCTGACATACGCTCCTCTTTCGCAAAACCACCTCTTACTTCTTGCGTCCCGCTGGCTTCACCTCTATCGCCCTCACTTTCCTCTTTCACCCCCCCGTCTCCTAACCAAATTCTTACTCTAGTAACCTCTGCCCTGTCCGACCACCTGCCCTCTTGACCCCATTCCATCACATCTTCTACAATATATCGCACCTACCCTTCTTCCTTTCCTCACCTGTCTCATCAACAACGCTCTGTTATCTGGCTGTTTTCCCAATTCTCTGAAGGAGTCAATGGTTAACCCTCTCCTGAAGAAACCCACCCTCAACCCTTCTGAAGAAAACAACTACAGACCGGTCCCTCTTCTTCTCCTTTTTGTCCAGAACTCTTGAACGTGTGATCTTTAACCAACTCTCCTCTTATCTCCACTGTAACAACCTCCTTGACCCCCACCAGTCAGGTTTCAAGGCCGTCCAGAGAGACTGCTCTCCTTGCTGTCTCAGAGCAACTCCACACTGCTATAGCTCCTCTCTGTCCTCTGTCCTCATCCTTCTGGACCTCTCTGCTGCATTTGACACAGTCAACCACCAGATCCTTATTTCCTCCCTTCAGGAACTTGGTGTCACAGGCTCTGCTCTCTACCTTCTCTCGTCCTACCTCGACGGCCGCACCTACCGGGTAACCTGGCGAAGATCTGTGTCGGAACCTTGTCCTCTTACTACTGGAGTTCCTCAGGGTTCCGTCCTGGGTCCCCTCCTCTTCTCGCTCTACACCAACTCTCACGGCGCTGTCATTCGCTTGCATGGCTTCTCCTACCACAGCTATGCTGATGACACCCAACTAATTCTCCCCTTCCCTCCCTCGGACACCCAGGTGGCGGCTCGGATCTCTGCCTGTCTGACTGACATCTCTCAGTGGATGTCCGCCCACCATCTGAAAATGAACCCCGACAAGACTGAACTACTTCTCTTTCCAGGAAAAGATTCTCCAACCCAGGACTTGACTGTCAACTTTGGGAACTCCGTGTTAACGCCCACTTTAACCGCTAGGAACCTGGGCGTCACACTCGACAGCCAACTCTCCCTGACTCCCAACATTACTACAACAACACGATCCTGTAGATACCCTCTCTACAACATCAGGAGAATACGTCCTCTTCTCACTCAGAAGGCAGCGCAGGTACTGATTCAGGCTCTTGTCATCTCCCGCCTGGACTACTGTAACTCTCTCCTGCAGGTCTCTACCACCATTCGACCTCTGCAGCTCATCCAGGATGCAGCAGCTCGACTGGTTTTTAACCTTCCAAAATTCTCCCACACTACTCCACTCCTCCGCTCTCTTCACTGGCTACCGGTGGCCGCCCGCATCCAGTTCTAAACATGGTGCTCACATACCATGCTGTGAATGGATGGGGTCCAGCTTACATCCAGGACCTGGTGAAAGGCTACATCCCAACCCGCACTCTCCGCTCTGCATCTGCAAAACTACTCGTCCCTCCTCACTGAGAGCAAAACACTCGACTAGGTCTCGACTCTTTGCTGTCCTGCTCCGAAATGGTGGAACGAGCTCTCTGAAGACACCAGGACCGCAGAGAGCCTTCACATCTTCCGCCGCAAACTAAAGACACACCTCTTCAGACTCTACCTCGACTAAAGACTAACAGGTAGCACTTACATTGTACTTATAAACGCCACTCATGTACAGCAAATTGCAAATTGGCTTTTGATGAAATCACACTTTCTTGTTTCTTGTTCTTCTGAGTTTGTATCCTTATGGTTGAATGCACTTATTGTACGTCGCTTTGGATAAAAGCGTCAGATAAATGACATGTGATGTAATGATCGTAACACACGATAAATAAAGCTGGTACAATTCACTCTGCATGATGAACCACATCCCACACCAAGATTTATATTCCGTGTGTGTGTGTGTGTGTGTGTGTGTGTCTCACTACTGGCTCCGAACGCTATGATCAGAATCAGGATGATTGTCGCCGTCAGACCAGGAAACAACCAGCGTCTAGACCTGGAGACGCCTGAGAAGTAGACGGGAGCTGGCTCTGACAGACAGGCAGGTAGAGGGACAGACAGGTAGAGAGACAGACAGGAGGTGATCTTCTCGTCTTACAACTAGAGCGATCAGCCGGACAGGCGGAGAAAGATGGGTACCTTTGTTCCAGAAGGAGTTGTTGTCATTTTCCAGGTTGTCGTGGTACTCAGTCGTCATGGCGATGTGTCCGACTCCGTCTCTGTCTCTGTGAAGACTGACAGACAGTCAGACTGTCCAAACAACTAGCTGAGGGTCATCGTCCTCCAGGATGAACTTTGAACTGGAAAACACAGTCAGATGTTACCGTGTTCCTGCACTAAAGTATGGAAACATTTCTACTGAAGGGAATGGAAGTGTCCTCCATACCTGCAAACTCATAAGGGGGGGAAAAAGGTGACTTTTTAATCAAAACATTTTAATCAAAAACGTGAGCCAATGTAGAATAATCTATCAGACGTATCAGGGTGGGTGCAGTTTGATTTTCTTGAACAAACTTCCTATTGAGAGAAACCGTGTTTGGTCTGATTGTTCTGACTAAAATACTGAACTGATTTGATTAAGACCACAGATCGGGCAGAAACCCGTAGGTAATAATAATAATAACAATAATCCAGTATCGGTGGTAACTTCATCTCAACGCTGATCACGACATCACCTTTTCTCTTTGTCTCACTCAGAAACAGGGGCCGTAAAAATAAAAACACACGGATCTACGTGACTCACGTGGATAACATATTTGGATTTCAAAACGGAGAATTGAACCGAAAAGCGACAAGTTTGCAGGAATGTTGCTCGTTTCCACTGCACAAGCGTGTGTGTCGAGTCAGGGAAGACCAGAGGTTCAATGACTAAAAGAAGTTGAAGCAGAAGTTACAGAATAATGAACAGTTTACAGTCAAGAGTGGTTTGTGAGCACACAAAAAGTAGTTTGTGTTTGTGTCTCACTACTCAGAATCAGGATGATTGCTGCCGTCAAACGAGGAAATGACCAGCGTCCATACCTCCTGACTCCTGAGGAGTAGACAGGAGCCGGCTCTTACAGACAGACAGGCAGATAGAGGGACAAGTAGATTGATAACCAGGTAGAGAGACAAATAGAGGGACAGGTAGAAGGAAAGACAGGTAGACGGACAGCTCATCACTTTTTCATATCAGTTGATGTGGACTGTGAGTCTCACACACTAATCTACAGTCAGTTCCCACCAAAGGGGCCTTTAGGTTCCCTTCATGGTACTGTTAGCATATTAGCATATTAGCGTCTACAACCCACATTCAGGAGAAATTCCTCTGCTGCTACAGCCGCATTTAGAGAAATAAAAACAAACATCAGTGTATATATAATGTAATATACATACATTAATAACACAAATCCCCGATGACTCACCTCAAAGCTTCTGCAGAAGCGTTCCGCAGGACTCAAAGTTCTGATCGGACCTGTTCGATAAAGAGATCAAAACTCTCCCCTCAGCACATCCAGTCCTACATTTCAACTCTCAGATAGGTTTCCCTGGACTTTCATCTGGCCGCTTATCTGCTAAACATCTGCAGCTGGAATATCAGGTGTATGACATATGTGGATTAGCTGGATGCTAATACCGGCATGCTAACATACGGCATAACCAACAAAGCACCAGCTCTCCGACTGTTGTGCAGAAGATTGTAATGCTAGCAGCAGCTAACGTAGCCGCTGCCGATGCATTTGACTTTACCGCCTTTTCTTTCATTTAAGCTCAACCAATCACGTTTGAGGCTCAAGTCAGATTCAAAATCCTTTCTTTTATTAATAATTCCAGACAAATTCATTTCACCAGAGTAACTCCTTGACGTACAGGTGTGCCAGTCACGGCATAAAGAGGTCACAGCTCAGCTCTCTGTGAGGTCATCGTTGAAGTAGAGGAGCAGGGCAGGGGGGAAGAGGTCTGGGTCCAGCCTCAGGTGTTGCAGCTCGTGGTCGTCGTCGGGGACGTTGTTTTCGCCAAGCGTCTGGCTCATGTCCAGAATCACGCTGCCATGTTTCCAGGTGTAGCTGCGGGCATGAGAGTTGTAGCGCAGGTAACGCTGGAGGATCCCGGCCATCGTCTCCTCCGAACACACCTGAGGAGTTAGGGCACAAGATCCATGATGCAAAAGCTCAGGGAAGGAGCACCTCCTCTGGCACCACCTTCAGGGGCTGTTTCAGACTACCTGAGCAGGTAAGAGGTACCTGTGTACAGGTAAGGGGGTCCTATATACAGGTGAGAGGTACTCCAGCAGTTGAGGGGTACCCGAGCAGGTGAGAGGTACCTGTGTACAGGTGAGTTCTACCTGAGAAGGTAAGAGGTACCTGTGTACAGGTGAGGGGTACCCGAGGTGTATGAACAGCTCACCTGCAGCCTCTGCTCCTGTGAGGTAAGCGTGTTGATGATTCGTATCCACCTGGTCTTGGCGGTAAGCAGTCCCACCTGGTAGCGCTCGTCCCTCCACCAGGTGGGAGCGACCTCTGTGGCCCAGTCAGAGCGGGGTCCGGCGGGCGGGATGTGCACAAAGCGACCCATGGGGGTGTAGTACCTCTCGCAGGTAGTCAGCGGGTCCACGTATCTCCGGACCTGAGGACAGGTGTGTTCAGGTGAGCCGGGAGGAGCAGAGAGCTGCTCCAATTGGCTGCTCTGAGGGGCTGCCACTCACGTCTTGGGTCTTTGAGTCAAACCAGCTGCTGATGTCTTTACCTGCGGCCTCCATGATGGGCAAGAGCAGAGCGTCACCTGCAGGGAGATACAAGGGTTCATTCATCCAACCAAAGCCTGATCTGAACCATGAGACCAAATGCTGATTGGTCGATTTCAAAGTGATTGAAAGCTCTGTAGTTCAAACAGAGACAGCACCTCAAAGTTATTCACACTGTGATGTTTGTTTACATTCAGATGTCCCCTCTAGTCAGGAGCCTTATTTATACTTATATATATCCACTACTAGTAAAGGTACTAATATACTCTCTCTATATCAAAGGGCTCTTCCACCCTTCCCGCCGTCTCGAGGACGACTGCTGGAGAGACTCCACCAAGGCAATGCCAAAGGACCTGATTGCATCACATATATGTGATATATGTACATTCATAAATATTTATATTTATGTATATATCTATATATACACGTATGTATATATATATATTACATATTATATTTAAGTATATATATATACACTTAAGAAATATAAATATCATATGTAAATATAAATATTTATAAATGTATGTTGTATGTATGTATGTGTATGTTTTTATTAATATATAGATATTTGTCGATATATTTGTTTGATTTAATGGAAAATACCTTTATTTTGTAGAACTAGTTAATCTGAACCTTTTGTTTGTTTAGTTTCTAATCTGGGGAGATGATCATAGTCCATGAAATAACTTATTGGTCACATAAGAAGTAAAAGCAGAAGCCGTCCCTGCGGAATGTAACGTCGCTGAAGGAGAAGAACAAAGCAAACAAATAGAAGCAGTAAATAAACGGTTCTTTCAACCTTTGTGGAGGTCCATCAGCGGGCTGACGTCCCACACTCTGCCCAGGAACGAGAGCCACAGGTCGGCCTCGCTGTTGTGAGCGGACACCTCCGCGGGGGTGAAGAACCGGGGCATGACGCGGCGTGTCACCAGGCAGCCGGACGGTCGCACGGTGTTGACGCGTTGCTGTGGCGACGAGCGATGGGGGTTGGGGCCGGTGTCGTCACGTCCGGTTCATCAGTTTAGAAATATCACAGCCGAAAATGACTTCATTGATTCAAATGATTCACCTAAAGTTACTGCCTGTAAAATGTGATTTTATTTTATTTGATAAGAAAATCAGGGTTTTACGTGATCGATATTACATTTTGGAATATACTTAATGTTTTTTTGAAAGATTACGTTATTATTTATTTTAATAAAAAATAAAGCTGGTAAAACTACCAAAAACTACCAAAACCACCAAGATATAGAGTACATTAAATGTATAAAAATATAAAATGTATATGTACATAAATATATTAGGCCTGGGTATAAATGCGTTAACATAGACAATAATTTAACAGCATTTATTTCTGAGC